AAACTCTCTCTCTCTCTCACACACACACATGCACGCACCACACACACGTGCACACACATGCATGTACAGCCCACATCTCTCCACTAGGAATATTTCCTGTTCAATTATGTCATAATATGTTGTCTAGAATAATCTAAAAGCATTCTGTCAGACTTCTACTTTTGGTAATCACCTCCTACAATTATTTCCTCCCAGAGCTGCCAAATCGATCTTGTAAATATTAATTATATCATTTACCTTTCTTTCTTTTTACAATCTACGTCTTAGAATGGTTTTGTCATGCTTATTATGACTTGCTTCCTGCTTAGTCTGACTTTGTATCATTTACTATTTCTGTTCTTGGAAATCTTTTAACGTGAAAATAAACTCCTTGTATAACATATTGCTCTTATTCATGCCAAACACACACAGACAGTAACACTGAAGGCTTACTGAATGGCTTTGATTTTGTATCATTTTGTTACCTGGAAAATGCTGTATAATTGTAATGTTCAGCAAGAATATGAGAATGAATGAACATCCAAGTGGGATGTAGAGCTGTCTATTCCAAAAGCAAGCATAGAGTTTGATGTTTTGCAATACTGTCTTAACACTGGCACTTTTACTCAAGAAAAATAATGTAAGGGGATTTAATTTGGTCAATACTTACTACGTATGCATCTGTGTATGCTACATTAAATATGTTTTCCCAATTTTTTATTTTTTGCTTCCATCATAGGTAGTGACAGCTACATCATCCCTTGCTTTGGGAATTAATATGCCCTGTAAAACCCGTTGTTTTTACAGAAGACTCTGTTTATTTGGATGCTCTGAACTTTCGACAGGTATTTATAATACATGACTTCTGTTACGGTTCTATATACAGGTATCTGAAATGCTCATTCAGTAGGCCAGGAAAAGCCATTTGTTTCTGAAATATTTGGTGGCCATAAAAATATTTGAAACTGAGTTTTTATATATGTATATTAATGAATATGATTACCTTAAAAACTTGTAAAATATATTGTCAGTAGCTTAGTTTTCCTGAAGATATTCTCAATTTGATAAATATTCTTGAACATAAACAAAAATAATATTGGAGGGAAGTAACTACATCTTTGAGCACCCAATTCATGCCAACCACCAATAATTATAGGTTAAGTGTCTATAAGGTTTTGATTTTAGGCTCGTTTCTGGAACTACGTTGGTAAATCAGAAATTGTGCCTGCTTTAAAGGCCATGATTTTAATTTAATTTTATAGGCAGAGAGGAGAAACGAGAGAGGAAGGAAAAAAGAGACAAAGAGGTTTCCTACCCACTGGTTCATTCCTCAGACACCTACTGTGGCTAGGGTTAGGGCCAGGCTGAAGTCAGGAGTCAGTAACTCAGTCCGGATTTCCAGTGTGAGTGATAGGAACCTGACTACTTGAGCTGCCACCTGCTGCCTTCCAGGAAGCTGGGAAGGGGACCAGAGCTGGTGTTTGAACCCAGGCGTTCCAATCTAGGTGTCAGGCATCCCAAGCATCCTACACCAAATGCCTTCCCTAAGGTCATGATCTTTATTTGTTTATTTAAAGATTTATTTACTTATTTGAAAGACAGAGTTATAGACAGAGAGAGGTGGGGGGGGGTCTTTCATCGTTTGGTTCACTCCCCAAATGGACCCAAAGGCTGGAGCTAGGCCAATCTGAAGCCAGGCGCTAGGAGCTTCTTCCACATTTCCAACATGGGTGCAGGGACCCCAGCACTTGAGCCATCTTCCAGTGCCTTCTCAGGCCATGAGCAGGGAGCTGGATCTGAAGGGAAGCAGCCGGGACTCCAAGTGGTGCCCATATGGGATGCTGGCACTGCAGGTGGCCCAACCTAGTTAAACCACAGCACCGACCCCAGATCATGATCTCTAAACACAGGAGCTGGTACTCCATTTATTTTTTTAAAAAAAGAGGCAATACTGTCTTAACACTGGACTTTAAAATGTATCTATAAAAATATATCTATAAAATAAAATAATTCTGCAAGATTTGACAACATCAATATACCAAGAAACAAAAAACTCATTGAAGATTTATTTTCAAATGTTTAATGTTCCACATGGTATAGGTAAGTGAGACATTATTTACAGTGCCAGGATTTGAACTTGCATAAGTTTTGTGGTCATCTCTTTAGATGTCTGGGCGTGCAGGAAGGCGTGGAGAAGATCTTATAGGAAGTGTGATCTTCTATGATATTCCATTACCCAAGATAGACCGGCTCTTGAAGTCTGATGTGCCCAAGCTGAAGGGTCAGTTTCCCCTAAACATCACCTTGGTTCTCAGACTCATGCTGTTGGTTGCCAAAGCAGATGACAAAGAGGATGCCAAAGCAAAGGTACAGTCTCTACCCTCTCTAACAGACATAATCATCTTAGCTCAAGTCTAAAGTAAGCCTCGCCTGTTAGGTATCTTGGAGGGAATAAAATCACAATGTGCAGTTCGCAAACTCTTAGCAACATTTGATTCTTGTCTTAGTGCCTTTCCTTCACACAAGAACATGGTGGTAACTTCTGTACACGTGACAAATTAAGTCCATGATTATAAATACACTCTGCATATATGAGAAATTTTTTTCAATAAATATATCTAGCCTAGAACATTTAAAAGTAAATTTTCAAAGAATTAATGGTTGAAAATGTACTAAATACTGGAATGTTCCTAACTCTTACTTTTATATATTCATAAGTTTACATTTATTTCTCAGTGGTTATGAGTGAAGTTGTCATTGTTCATCTCTCCCAGTAAATTTTTCATCCTATTATGTTTTATTCATACATAGAGAATGTAAAACTTATGGCATATCTGTAATAATTATTTAGAGTATATAATATAACAAAGTCATTAGTGATATCTCAAACTTTATAGCTAGCCTGTCTAACTTTGGTGTTTTGACATGTGTGCATAGGCATTGTCGCTGCTCCAGTATTCCTTGATGTCCTTCAAGCGACCAAAGGTCAAGTGCATGTTAAAATTTTACTTCATATATTCTTTGCAATTCTTGATCAGAGAGGTAAGATTTAAACCTGTTTTCACTAAAGTGTTCGTACATGTATTTAACTTTACTACTGAAATCTCCTTACTTGATGACTTACCTGTTGGGTATTTCTGAGATCTAGGGACTGAGGCTAAATTGTTAAATTGATTCACAGGGATACCTGAATCAAGAATGTGTTCCCGTTGGATATGCTGGCCTTGTGTCCCACCTGCACTACCACGAACCTTCAAACTTTGCTTTAGTAAGCATGCTGGTGAAAGGTCTGTTTCACAAGCTGTGTGTTCCAGTCATCGTAGATGGTGAGCAGCTATCCTTTTCCCAACTCCTACCCCTTACACTGTACATGTACACACACTGACATCCCGTACGACTGCTTCACATATACCTGCACGTTCCCCAGAACTACATTTGCTTTTGATGGTGTGTCATCTTTAAAAGATTGAGAGGGAGGGAGGGACAGGGGGAAGAAGGGGGAGAGACAGGGAAGGAGGGAAGAAGGGAAAGATGGGGAGAGAGGGGGGGAGGAGGGAAAAGAGAGAGAGAGGATGAATGAATGAATGAATGAGCGAGTAGACCAAGAGAAATCTTCCACTGATTTGCTTTCCGATGTCCACAGTAGCTGGTCCTGGGCCAGGTCAAAGTTGGGAGCTGGAAACTCAATCCATGTCTCTCATGTGGGTGGGAAGAACCCAGTCAATCACTTGCGCCATCATCTGCATTAGCAGGAAGTAAGAGCTGGATCTGAATTTTAAACCTGGGTACCCCATATGAGATGTGGGCATCTTAACTGCTAGGCTAAGCATGCATCTTGGTAGGCCATTTTCTGATTGCCCATTCTCCTAATGTATCTTGAAGGTTTTTCTTGTCATTTTACAAAATTAAATATGTTTATAAAATATTATTAGCATCTGAATTTTGTATGTATAATCATAATATAAATATGATTCTTAATGATTATTTAATATACTTTTAAATTTTAAGAAATTATAACCTTTAGCTTTGTTAAAGACAATAAGCATTATTCTACTGAAAAATTTTTGGAAGTTATTTACATAAAACATTGTCATCTGTAATGATTTCCTTTACTATAATTTTAAATTAGTTTTTCCCTTTTCTATAACTGAAACACAATGCTGTAAGGTAAAGAGGGAAATAGAACGGTGTGATCCAAACACAAATGCAGGCAGCTAAGGCTAGAATATACAGTTAGTGACCCATTGTTCTATTTTATTTTTGGAAACATCAACTTTTATCAAAATAGTACAGAAATAATTAAGATGATATGGTAGTATATATCTTTTTAAAAATATTTATTTATTTATTTGAAAGTCAGAGTAACACAGAGAGAGGAGAGGCAAAGAGAGAGAGAGAGAGGTCTTCCATCTGCTGGTTCACTCCCCAATTGGCTGCAATGGCCAGAGCTGGGACGATCTGAAGCCAGGAGCCAGGAGCTTCTTCCAGTTCTCCCACATGGGTGCAGGGGCCGAAGGACCTGGGTCATCTTCTACTGCTTTCCCAGGCCATAACAGAGAGCTGGATCAGAAGTGGAGCAGCCAGGACTCGAACCGGTGCCCATATGGGATGCCAGCACTGCAGGCCAGGTGTTAACCCACTATGCCACAGTGCTGGCCCATGATATCTTAACACTAATAATAAATCAAATCATAAAGCCTTTGATCCATGTGAACCTGTTTTTTTTTTTTTTTCAAGAAAGAGTCATGAATTTTACTTATGATATAAATATTGCGTAGAGGGTCTCAGAATGCTAAAGCAATTTGAAAGCTGGGCACAATTTTCACATGATGCTAACAATGTATAGAAATCAAGTTCGAGCTGGCGCCACGGCTCACTAGGCTAATCCTCCACCTAGCGGCGCCGGCACACCGGGTTCTAGTCCCGGTCGGGGCGCCGGATTCTGTCCCAGTTGCCCCTCTTCCAGGCCAGCTCTCTGCTGTGGCCCAGGAGTGCAGTGGAGGATGGCCCAAGTGCTTGGGCCCTGCACCCCATGGGAGACCAGGATAAGTACCTGGCTCCTGCCATCGGATCAGTGCGGTGCGCCGGCCGCAGCGCGCCGGCCGCAGCGGCCATTGGAGGGTGAACCAACGGCAAAGGAAGACCTTTCTCTCTGTCTCTCTCTCTCACTGTCCACTCTGTCTGTCAAAACAAAAACAAAAACAAAAACAAAAACAAAAAAAAAAAGAAATCGAGTTTGAAAGCCTCACTCTGCACGGCATTTCTCTGATAGCCTGTAGCCTGTTTCCTAGTCTCTCATGAGTGCCTGTCATTCAGCTCCTTCATCCATCATGCTCCCAGTGGTCTGGACCCTGGCCCTCTGCAAAATGCTGGAGCAGATCAAATATCGGGAATTTCACATAGGCTTTCCCTCTAGGAGATTTAGTCCCTAGTGTATTGCGAGGGTTTGGGCATAAGAAAATATGGGGAATAAATATTCCAGGGAAAAAGCAATATTGGCAGCAAAGGCCTGTCAAGAGGAGCAGGTGCGAGTTCTTTCTGTAACGTGCACCAAAGAGAGAGTGGGCGCAGATTCACGTCACACAGGGCCTGGAAGGGCAGACGAGGAGTTTAGCAAGCAGCTTCGGGCCTTTGTTCCTTGGCAGGGGTTGCACCAAGGTAGAAAAAAATGAGTAGAATGGAGACAGAGGAGCAAAGGGAAGACTTGGAGCCAGTGAGGGAATCCCAGGGCAGTTACAGAGTAGGGGCAACCATCGCTCATTGACCACCAGGCTTCTACAGGTAAGAGTGGGTAGGAGGATGCAAAGCGTTTTGTAGCAAGATGCCATCAGTTAGCCTGCAATATTGTGAAATGCTGGTGTAGTTTGTTAAAAAAAAGTCACCAAATTCATAGGAAGTAAGTTTTCAGCTGTGTCTTACACATTACATTTGTTCTCTAAGGTTTTGAAAAATTAAACTTTTTTTTTTAAATAACAAAATACAGGCAAAAAGACATTTTCTGAAGATGTGATGGAAACCTTGGTGGTGGTTTTAGCACATCTTTTTGGAAAGAGATACCTTCCTCCCTGTGCGAAAAAGTTTAAGAAGGTGTTTTCTCATTCAATGGTAAGAAAATAAAATACTGCAATACTCGTACTTTGATGTAACCTCTTTCTGCTTTAATAATAATGAAGTGCAACAGCATTTTCCCAGTAACAAGATTTTGCCATCATTCACTCGAGTTACTTCTTCATGCTCCAGTTAGTCTTTGGGATGCATGAGTGCAGATTTGTATATGAATGCTTTGTTTTTTACTAATATGCGTTCTCCATGAACTTTTTGAAGATCCCTTGTATGAATAGATGTCAGTTTGTTTTGCAGTCAAACTTACCTTTTAATTACAGTTTCCATGAACTTTCTGAAGTGTCATAGTGTAGTAATTGCAGATGAATGGAACTTATTCCTAACAGAGATGAATAGCCAGCTAGTCATTTAATATTAATATTAATAAAGAAGAAGATAAGAAGATCAATTTAACACCTATCTGGAAATAGTGTTCTGGGAATTCTAATCCTTGCCAAATGGAAAGAAAGGAAAATTGGATGGTTTTCATCCGATGCAAAGGTGGGCAAGGTGAACAGCAAAATACTACAGCGTATGATGGAGTAATGTGCTGGGTCACCCGCCCAGCCCTGCCACTGAACTGATGGCACATTTCTGTACCAGACCTGTTTTCTTATCTGAAAACTGGCAATTGGAATAGCACCCACTTTGAAGAGTTGCCATGAGGATTAAATGAGTGAATACCTGCAAAGTGGGGCCAGCATTGTGGCTCAGCAGGTTAAGCCACCACTTGCAATGCAGGAATCCCCTATCAAATGCTGGCTTGAGTCTCAGCTCCTCTGCTTCTGACCCAGCTTCTTGCTAATGTGCCTAGGAAGGCAGTGGAAGGTGACATAAATACTTGGGTCCCTGCCACCTACATGGGAGAGACCACGATGGAGGTCCTGGCTCCTGGTTTTGCCCTGGCCTAGACCTGGCTGTTGTGGCCATTTGGGGAGTGAACCAGCAGATGGAAGATCTCTGTCTGTCTGTCTGTCTCTCTCTCTCTGTCTCTTCCCCTTTCTCTGTTGCTCTGCCTTTCAAATCAATCAATCAATCTTTAAAAATACATGCAAAATGCTTAAAACAATGTTTGGCATATAAAAACACTCAGTAATGTTGGCTCTTATTTTTGTAATTGTTATTTACAGATAAAATCTCTGGCTATGTAAAAAGCCAAGAAAATCAACAGAAAAATGTTTATAATTTGCCAAAATAATCTATTGAAATGTATAACTTTCCCTATACTAAAGTTACAAAGAAAACAAAATGTAAAATCTCAGCTGTAATTAAAGGTAGAAAGTAATAAAATGCTTGGCTCATCTGAAAATGTGGCAAAGATCTCAATGAACAGTTACACTGATCTCATAGATCCTTTAACAACATGCTTTAAGGCGGGCATTTGACTGAGTGGTTCAGGCTGCCAGTTAAGACGCCCATGTTTCATGTTGGAATATCTGGATCAGTGCCTGGTGACAGCTCCAGCTCTCTGTTAATATGCACTTTGGGAGACGGTAGGTGATACTCGAGTACTTTGGTTCCTGCCACCTATGTGGGAGGCCTGGATCACCTTCCTGCTTCCCAGCCCTGATGGTTATTGGCATTTGGGACACAAACCAGCAGATGGGAGCTCTCTGTCTCTCCATTTCTCTGTCTCTCAAATAAATAAATAAAAATTTAAAACATAACAATTGCAAGAGAAAGTGATTATTAAAAAGGAAAACTTTACATACATTTCAAGACTGTTTTGCACCACAATAAGCTTATCTTTTAATTGCATTTTCCCTGAATTCTTTGAAGTTTCTCATAGTTAAAATTGTATGCACTTTCTAGTAAATGTTCCAAAAAAGGGAGGTTGGGTACCTCTTACCAGCTGTGCATTGGCTAGAACAAATAGGAAATTTCTGCTGGCCACTATCACTTTAAGGGTTGCAGGGCTAGAATCATCTAGAAATCCAGCCTCAGGCTGCTGGAAGCCTTGTTAGAGTCTGGTCATGTCTCTTAGTGTGGGATTCGGATGGAGCTGTCCTGTGCCCAGAGTTCTGCAGCATTGGGAGAGAGGAGCTGGCAGGCTGCAAATATAAAGAAAAGGTAAGGAGGGGTCACTGCTGTGGCATAGTGGGTAAACGCTCCGCCGGCAATGCTGGCGTCCCATGTGTGCACTAGTTTGTGTCCCAGCTGCTCCACTACCAATCTAGCTCCCTGCTAAAGGTGTTGGGAAAACAGTGGAAGATTGCCCAAGTGCTTTAGGCCCTGCAACCCACATGGAAGACCTGATGAAGCTCCTGGCTCCTGGCTTTCACCTGGCTCAGCCTTGGCCATTGCAGCCATTTAGGGAGTGAACCAGTGGATGGAGAGAATCTCTCTCTCCCTCTGTATTCTGACTTCCAAATAAAGAAATCTTTTTTTTTAAAGGTAAGGAAATGGAAAGGCTAATTACCTCATTGATCTGCTTACATGTGATGAAACAGTATACTGTACACCCCAGAGAAACGAACAAGTCTTATATGTTCTTCTAAATTTTTTTTTCTTTAGTATTTGAAGTTCTCAGTAGAAATGCGTGATGACCAAGGATTAGTTTCTTAAAGCTGCTCTAATGAAGTGGTACAAACCAGGTAGCTTACATGGCAGAAATGAATTGTCTCAGCTGGCACCATGGCTCACTAGGCTAATCCTCCGTCTGCGGTACTGGCACCCCAGGTTCTAGTCCCGGTTGGGGCGCCAGATTCTGTCCCGGTTGCTCCTCTTCCAGTCCAGCTCTCTGCTGTGGCCTGGGAGTGCAGTGGAGGATGGCCCAGGTGCTTGAGCCCTGCACCCGCATGGGAGACCAGGAGAAGCACCTGGCTCCTGCCTTCAGATAGGCGCAGTGTGCTGGTCATAGCAGCCATTTGGTTTCTCTCTGTCTCTCTTTCACTGTCGAACTCTGCCTGTCACAAAAAAAAAAAAAAAAAAAAAAAAAAAAGAAAAAGAAATGCATTGTCTCGCAGCCCTGGAGATGCAGAAGCATGGCAGAGGTGTCCTTGCTGAGGGCCTCGAGGGAGACTCTGGTCCAGACCTCTCTTCTAGCTTCTGGTGTTGCTGTTGATTTTTGGTGCTCCTTGACTTGTAGAAGCAGCCTTCGGGTCTCTGCCTTTGTGTACACATGGTGTGTGTGTACCTGTGTGCAGACTTCTGCCCCCCCCTTTAAAGATTTATTTATTTGAAAAGCAGAGAGATCTTCATCCATTGGTTCCCTCCCCAAATGGCCGCAACAGCTGGAGCTTGGCCATTCTGAAGCCAGGAGCTGGGACTGGAACCAGCACTCATGTGGGCTGTCAGCGCTGCAGGTGGCAGCTTCACCTGCTACGCCACAGCACTGGACTCACCCCCTCATTTTTTTTTTTTTTTTTTTTTTTTTGGACAGGCAGAGCTAGACAGAGAGAGAGAGAGAAAGGTCTTCCTTTTTCCGTTTGTTCACTCCCCAAATGGCTGCTACGGCCGGCGTGCTGCGCTGATCTGAATGATCTGAAGCCAGGAGCCAGGTGCTTCCTCCTGGTCTCCCACGCGGGTGCAGGGCCCAAGCACTTGGGCCATCTTCCACTGCCCTCCCGGGCCACAGCAGAGAGCTGGACTGGAAGAGGAGCAACCGGGACAGAATCTGGTGCCCCAACCGGTTCTAGAACCCCGTGTGCTGGCGCCGCAGATGGAGGATTAGCCTAGTGAGCCACGGCGCTGGCTCACCCCCTCCTTTAAAAAAAATTATTTACTTATTTGAAAGGCAGAGTTACACACACACATACACACACACACACAAACCAACCAACATTTGCTGCTTGGCTTCCCAAATAGCTGCAGCAGCTAGGGCTGCCCCAGGCAAAAGCCAGGAGCCTGGAACTCTATCCAGATCTTGCAGGTGGGTACAGGGGTCCAAGGGACATCTTCCACTGCCTTCCCTGGCACATTAACAGGGGCCTGGATTGGAAGTGGAGCAGCTGGGACATGAGCTGGTGCCCATATGGGATGCCAGCATTGCAGGTGGTGGCTTTATCTGCTTGCAATGCTGACTGCTAAAATTCTTCTTTTTAAATGAAGTCCATGACATGGGAAAATGCACCAAATACAATGCTGAGTATGAACATTCTGTTGTGAAGCTGCATACTGCACCCTAGTTAGAAGGTGATTCTAATCACCGAAATCTTTATAACCTATATCCCTGAATGGTAGGATTACACATTAGTTTTTACTTCAGTTTATGTATTTGTGTGTCCATGAGTAAAAGAGTTTATATTTAGAAGTACATTTCCATCTATATTTTTAAAATATACATTTTAAATATGCATTTATTTCATCTACTTGCAAAGCAGAGAGCAAGTGGAGGGGGGGAAAGAGAGCACGCACACACGAATGAAAATTCTTCCATTTGCTGGTTCATTCTCCAAATGCCCATAGCAATAGGGGCTGGACCAGGAGCCTCAATCCCAGTCTCTCACATAGCTGGCAGAGGTCCAAGTACTTGTGCCATCATCGGCTGCCTCCCAGGATGCACTGGCAGGCAGCTGATATGGGATGAGGATATCCCAGGCAGCAGCTTAATCGCTGTCCCTAAGAAGATTTTGGCCCCGTGTCTCCCAGACCTTGGCCATGCTCTGCTCCTGGTTTGAGCGGTCAGGCCCATCTGACTCCTTGTTCACAGGTGTTCCTCCGCCATCTTCCAGAGGACTTCGCTGCTGCAGTGAAGGAGTACAATGCCAGGATTCGGAAGAGCTTTGGTTCCTTCCTCCTGACCGTTTCTAAGCTGGCTGATGGGAGCCAGGAATACCGACTCCCTCTTTCAGAAATAGGTAAGAGGAACAGAAGGCCCATAAAGTAAAACATATCTAACTATGCTGAGATAAAACGGAAGTTTGGAAGATAAAGACATAACTATTGCAAGAGAATATACAAAAAAAAAAAACCCTAAAAGTCCTTCAGTTTATGCTGTGGAAATTTTACCCTGATAAAAATCTTTTATTGTCTGGAATTAGGTAAGTCACTGTAGATTTCATTTAACACTAAATGCTTAAAATAGTTCTATTTTCTTCTGGCACAATCATGAAGAAGCACCCCCTTGCCTAGTCTGAATTTATTATAGAATATTTCTTTACCTATTGATATTATTTGTCCTTTAGTGGATATTGACACTCTCCACTTAGTTCAACTTTTCAATGTGAATAGCTTTGAAACTATGAGAAGAGGCATGTTGGCATATTTCTTTAGGACCATCAGTGCGTTGTGACTCCCTCAGTACAAAGTGGGCGGTGAGGGAGATAAGGCATCGCCCATCTGATTCAGGAAGGGAGAAAACTGCACGAGAAAGAAAATGACAAAAATATAAAGAAAAATAATGAATCTATGACAAATAAAGGTTCTGGAAGCAGGTCATGCACTCAGTGTCCTTAGCAGGGAGACAGAGAGAGCTAAGAAGATGTGGGAATGTGGCAGGATTCTGTTTTCATCCACTTCCTGTAGAAACAAGGAGAAAACCGTGGTTCTGGTGGGCTGCTTTGACTTCTTCCTATTTCAGGATCCATGATTATATTGGAATATGGAAGGCGTGTGAGGGACAAGGCAAAATGTTGGCCTTTTCAGCCAGGGAGTGAGAAGTTCACCAGTCATGGGTCAGTTTCGTGGGAAAGAACCCAGTGTCTTCAGGCCATGGCTGTCATCCAGAATTGGAGGGGTGTGGTGGGGCGGTGATCTCCTTTTCCTCTGGGGTGACTTCTGGGGTTGGTAGGGTGAGACCCTTCCCCGCCTCCATGGATGTCCGGATCCTCATCTGAGGAGCCTGAATGTTTTGTGGCAAAGGGAGGATGAAGCCTGCAGATCGAATCACATCTTCTGATCTGCTGCTCTTGGCTTGGGGAGACACGCAGACTGTCTGGGTGGACCTGATCAAGTTGAAGAGGGAGGCAGGAGCATCAGAGTGAGAGGACATGGCATGGGAAGAGTTAACCGACCAGCTGGCTCTGAAGGTGGGAGGAACCAGAGAGGCAGCTTCTAGGAGCCCTCCCAGGACGCCCAAAAAGAACAAGCAGAGAGCCCTGCTTATGACTTGTTTTAGCCCAATGACACCAATTTCCACCTTCTGACAGATTTGGCTTACGTTACGCCACAAAGGTGGTGTCCGTTTCTTACATCAGCATTAGGAAACTAATAGAACTTCCAAGAAGAGCCATGTGAACAAGAGATGACAAGTAACAGGCAGCATGTTTTTGCTGTTGTTGAGGTGAAATTCATGTGGCATACATTAACTTCTTTAAGATGTATAAGCCAGAGGCATTTGATACAGTCAGATTGTGCAACCCCTCCCTCAGGTTGCTGTGTGTGGCTACGGGATTGGCTTGGTCCAGCTTCTTGCCCCATCACAGGAAGGAATTCAAGGAAGAGACGTAGGTAGAGGCTAACAGACAAGCAAGATTTATTTACGTGAGAAGTGAAAGTATACAGGAAGGAGTGCAGGCAAAGCCAGGAGAGAGAGTTGCAATCAACATGGCTTGGGGGCTGTCTTTTTATACCATTTGGAGGCATAGGGGCTGTGGGCCTTAATCAGACATTCAAATTCGTGGAGTTTGGAGTTTGGAGTGCCACATGCTTCCTTGCCCTTTGCAATCAGAAGTGTCATGCTGTCAGGTGTGTGATGGGAACAGGAGTGTCACCCATGGTAACATTAGTGACCCTGTGTTGAGCTGAAGATCATCATGGGGGCACAGCCTGCAGCCATATTGAGTATTTCTAGCTGGCACTGGTTCTAAGTTGCAGCACTGCAGAACCTGCAGTCCTCCGCTACACAGAAGGGGTGGGGGGCTGTGCATGGAAAGGGGATTTGAGTGGTGTGGGGGCAGGCAGTTTGGTAAGTGTGGGCCAGATCGTCACAAGGGCTGGAGCCGGCAGTTCCTCTCTGCTCTTGCTATCTCCCTGCCTCCGTCAAGATGATCATAAAGGTTAAATGTCAAAGGATTATTCTTTATAGGAAAAATAAATCCAAGTTATACATTTAATTGTGGAGGCTTAAGGGTCAGGCATTAAACCTTGGTGTTCATAGTCCCCTCCTAAAGTTGGAATCAAATGAGCAATTAATGTGGGAGTCCTAGGGATGAGACTGAGTAAGAGAACATGGTTTTCACGTTCAGTGAAATAAAGCAAAGCCCTGAGTAGAACACTTGCCCGTCCCCCAGGTAGAACTACAGTGCCTGTCTCTTTTAGATGAACAGAGAAGACAGTAGAATCTATCTCCCTAGTGGTCACATGGACCTGAAATACAGAAAGATCAAAGAAAGGCACAGACTGATGGGGGACGACACAGAGAAGTGTGTGTTAAAAAAGTAAAGAAAAAAGAGACAAAAGCGATGTAGAGACAATCGGAGAGAGAGAGATGAGAAACAAACACAGGAAGATTGTCAGACAGATGGAAATGGAGATGTAAATAGATAAATGCATGGATAGAACGACAGAAGGAGAGAGACAGGAACACAAAGTACAGAGAAAGCTGTGAGGGAAAGAGGAACAGAGGATGGGGTGGGCTTTCGGTGCAGCCGTAAAGTCACTGTTGGGACACCTGATCCCACATCTGAGTGCCTGGTTCAAGTCCCAGCTACTCCACTTCCCATCCAGCTTCCTGCTAATGCACAAGCTGGGAGGCAACAGATGATGGCTCAAGCACTTGGGTCCCCACCACCCACGAGGGAGACCTGATGCAGCTCCAGGCTCCTGGCTTTGGCCCCGTGCCAACTGTTACAGGCCTTTGGGGTGTGACTCAGTAGATGGAAGATTCATGTCTGTCTCTCCACCTTTCAAATAAAATAAAAAGAAAGCTTTTAAAAAGAGGAAGAAATGGGGCAAGGAGGAGCAGAAAGACAGAGAGGAAACAGAAGAGAGCGAATCATTCACAGAGGGAGAGCAGGACACATGGGATCCAAGAAATCAGCACACTAGAAGCACGGAAGGAAGACATGGGGACAGTGGAGAGAGAGAGAGAATGATTTGATTGGACGTTGAGTATCTCCCTCTACCAGACCCACTGTTCAGGCCTGCAGTGAGATGGGTGAGCTGCACAGGGACCGGAAGTGTCCCTCCCCACTTTTGCCTCCTGGTGAGGGAAGTGGGACTTCCTTGCCATCCGCGGGTGTATGCACAGTAGAGTTAACACAGGAGAGTAGGCGGTGAAGCCAGCTTTAACTCCATTACGCGAAACTTGGCAGCTGTAACACTCCCCTGCGTCTTGAGAGGAATCTGAATATGAAGCCGTTGTAGAGGGCAGGTAGGTGACCCCGGTTTTTGAGCTCAGGTCCTTGGATCCAATAGGGCTCAATGAAGCATCTGCATCCCCCTTAGTAAACAGTGTCCACATAAGTTCGCAGTAGGTGGACGCACGGAGCCGCCACATGGGACCACCGAGTGGTAGAGCCACTAGCAGATGCTAGAATGAGTTTGGTTTAGGGAGAAGAAAGTCTTCACAGTGGTGATCCAGCAATACAATCCCCAGAGTGTTTGCTTAAAACAAACCTCCAATAAATTTTCTGGTAATAATGGTATAAATGAATTTGATTAGTTTCAAATGGTTTATGTTTCATAGGAGAATGGTTTTCCATTTGCTTCTTCCTAGACTTTTCAGGTAAAGAGCGTGAAGACTCTGAGCTGGTGTCTCATCTGATGCCCGGGACTGAGAGCAGATCTGCTGTCTCCCCATTTGCTTGCCTGTCCAATATCACGGATCAGGATTTGTTTGGTGTTCACATGACAAATGACGTAAGTCCGTTTTGTTGTGACAATTTCTTTCATTCTGTTTATTCATCGATGAGAAATAGCCTTTATCTGATTAGAACACTAGGTCAGTGTCTCATGTCTGAATAGTGATGCTTCCCAGTGGCGTGGGAAAATACTTTTAAAATAAAAAATACCAGGAAAACAGGGAGGTTTCTCAGTCACCATGGCATTAGTCAGCTTTTCGATACTACAGTGAAATACCAGAGGCAAGGAAAAAAGTTTGTTTAGCTCACAGGTTTGGAGGTTCAAGTCTGGGGACCTGGTGCAGACCCTGGTGAGGCTCTGTATTGTGTGTGCAGGAAAGATCATGTGGTGAGCTAGGAAGCAGAGAGCCTGGGCCCGAGCTCAGGTGTTTGGAACAACCCGCATCACCTGAAGGCCTTCCACTCAGCCCCACCTCCTAAAGGTTTCCCCTCCTCCTAATGCCACCACCTTAGGGAACAGGCTTCTACCATGGGGGCCTTTTGGGGACATGCGACATCCAAAGCCATATCCGGACCACAGCAGCTGTATGCACTGCCTCTCATAAGCCCCTGCTACTCCAGGTGTGAGCCAAGGAGACCTGGCCGTCCACGTCACCTGCCAGCAGTGCAGTCTCGGGAGCGTCTCTGGGTGTTACGTCCAGAGTGCACACTGGAGTTAGATCCTGCTGTCAGTCATTCGAGGGCAATGTGTTTTGTTTCTGTTTTTATTTTTATTTTTTATGTCTGAACGCATAGAGTGGTGTGTGGTGCAGCATGGAGATGTGAATGATTCAGTATGAGCCAAAGCGGTCACTGTGGCATGGTCAGACTTCCAGTCCTGACTGTCCCCGGACAGTTTATTCAGGTAGCAAGTTGACAGAAAATGAGCCCTGATGACTGGGACTGTGTCACTTGCCACGATCTGGTCATTGTGTCCTGGAAAGCAGTATAAGAACAGATATTGTGGAGTGTGGGGAAGAACAACACTCTCACTGTGTGTTGTTGCCAAGATAAAGCTTGGACATTCAGAAATATTTTCTTCAGGGAGAATTAATCTAAGAAATATTTGTAATATGTTTCTGAAGTTGTAAAAGTGGCCGTGTAAATTCTTTTACTTATTGAAAGGCAAAGTTACAGAAAGAGAGAAATAGAGAAATATATAGAGAGAAAATCTCCCATCTGCTGATTACTCCCCAAGTGGCCGCAATGGCTGGGGCTGGGCCAGGCCAAAGCCAGGAGCCCAGAACCTTCCCCAGGTCTCCCACATGTGTGCAGGGGCTCAAGTACTTGGGCCATCCTCCACCACCTTCCCAGGCGCTCTAGCAGGGAGCTGGTTTGGAAGCAGAGCAGCTGGACCGCGAACAGGTGCCCATATTGGATGCAGGCACTGAAGGCAGTGGCCCAACCTGGTACACCACAACAAAGGCCTGACCATGTAAAATTAATTCTAAATAAATTGGAGCCATCATTTCCATGCTTTTAAAAACAGTTTTGATATTTTATCTGGTCAGTCATATTATAGTTTTGGGAAATTTGGTACACTGTTTACTGTCTGATACTAGTACTAAACATGTATTGAGTTATTGTTTTATTTTAAATGATTTATTTATTTATCTGTGAGGCAGAGTGACAGTGGGGTGGGGTGAGAGATGCTGGCTCATTCTCCAAAAGGCCATAGAAGCTGGGGATGGGCCAGTCAATAGCCAGGAGCCAGGAGCTTCTTCTGGGTCTCCTATGTGGGTGCAGGGGCCCAAGCTCCTGGGCCATCCTCCACTGCTTTCCCAGGCACATCAGCAGGGATCTGGATGGGAAGCAGAGCAGGTGGTCTAGAAAAAGCACTTCGATGTGGTGAGCCTTTATTGCAGGTGAGACTTAACCTGCTGTACAACGCTGCCTCCTGGGTTACTGCTTTAACTAGCTACCGACAATGAACCATGGTGACCAGATTTTATAATAAAGGTCACTTTAAGAGAAAAATGTGAGTAACCTGAGGCCTCTGTGTACCCCCAGGCTATCTTACGAACACTCAGTGTGGATGTCAGCAATGTTCCTCTCCTTTGCTTGAACAAACGGGATCAAAGTGGCCGGAAGTATTTCTTGAACGCCTATGCACTGGACTTCTACAAGCATGGTTCCCTGTTCTCACTGGCTTCAGACAACTGGTATGACTGCTCCTACTTTAACATGCTCCAGATACATCTGTGTGTTTGTGTAATGGAGGTTAAGGGGGCTGATGCATTGCTATGGTTTCTGTGGCATTAATTTTAAGATGCAGTGTTTAAGAAGGATAATTAAGAGGCAGTTTGTTTTGAACAATTACAAGGTTTTTTTTTCCTAGAGATGAAGTCTACATGACATAAAATTAACCATTTTTAAGTGAGTAGTACAGTGGCTTTAGGTATATTTGCAGCATTGTGCATGCACTGCTGCTATCTAGTGACAAAACATGCTCATACCCCCAGGGAAAGTCCCTGACCTTCAAGGAATAGTTCCTGTCCTCTCTCTGACACTGCCAGTCTGCCCTCTGGCTCCGTGGGTTTGCCTTGGTCTGGGTGTTTACTATGAAGGGAATCACGTGGCTGTGTAACCTTGCGTGTCTGGCTTCTTTCACTGTAATACTCCAGTGTCCATGCTGGTGCAGGTTTCAGTACTTTGGTCCGTTGTAGGAGGGGTCTTCCAAATGTTCTTGGCAGATGCATATTATGAAAAGAATGCCTGCCTGGATTTCAAAATATTTTTTGAATGAAAGTAAACGTTTTGTTTTATTTCATTTTTTCCCCAAACACTTTATATTTGTCTTTTATTTGAGAGGCAGAGAGAAGAGACAGAGAGGGATCTTTCATTCACTGATTTACTCCTCAAATGCCAAATATGGCCGTGGCTGGGATCTTAGTCCAGGTCTCTCATGTGGGTGACAGGGACCCAATAACTTGAGCCATTACTGGTGCCTCCCAGGGTACACGTTAGCAGGCAACAGGAATCAGGAATCAGCCAGAACTCAAACCCAGGCACTCTGAGATGGGATAAGACCATCCCAAGCAGCATTTTCACTGCTGCGCCAAATGCGTATCACTGTGTTTTATTTTTGCAGACTTCTTGAAGTGTCCTCGTGTGTACATACACAGTTCTTTTATGTAGTTGAACATTTGGGTTGTTTCCACCTTTGGCAGTTGTGAGCACTGGTGCTATGAACATGCATGCACACGCGTTGCTTTGCATTCCTGTTCTCAATTCTTTTGGATCTGTATGTAGGGATAGAATTGCTGAGTCATGTTAACTCAATGTGTACCATTTTGAGAGACTGAAAATTGTTTTCCACAAAAGTAAACCAGGTTCCATGAAAGTAAACATTGCCCCAGCAATGTACAAGGATTTAAATTTCTCCACCATCTACCATGCTTGTTATTTCATTTTTCTCCTTTATTATAACCATGGTGGTAGGTATCAAGGGGTATCTCATGGTTCTGATCTAAATTTTTCTAAATACTAACAATGCTGAGCATGTGTTCATACACTTGCATGTCATTTGCACCATGGTGTTAAAATTATCCCCTGTGTTAACCTTCTCCAGAGAAAGAGTATCTGTCTAGCAAGTCCCTTTGTATCTATCATCCATCTATCATTTAATTTTTTATTTAAGGAGTTGGCTCAAATGATTATGGAGACTACGAAGACCCAGCCAGAGACCCAGGGAAGTCAGTGCTGTAAATTCTAGCTTGAGTCCCAAAGCCTGAGAACCATGAACTCCTGATAGTTCAGGTTCGAGTTCAAGAGTGGATCAGCATCTCGGGCAGTCAGGCCGAGAGAGAACGCATTCTGCCTTCCTCTGCCTTTTGTCTGTTGAGACGTTGTCATGGAGTATTGAAAACTGATGAGGAATTGCTGGAAGAAAGTTTATTTGAGAATAAAGAGTATACTAAAGCAGTGTGTGTTGGGGGAATTAAAAAACTACGACGACCATGGTGACAAGGTCAACAACATGTACATGCCTAAGGCAGAAGGTTCGCTCAGGGAAAGCGTGAGATGAGCCTACGCTTTCACCTCTCGCAGGTCTCTAGGAACAGTGCAAGAAGGGAGTGAATTTAAGACAAAGATCAAAAACGGAACCAGACAGACGGCAGCAGGTTGTTAGATTGCCTTGCCGTGTTCTCAAGGAGTGCCTGCTGCTTCTCTCTCTCTGAGTGCCGACGCAGGCTCCGCAAGGGCAAGTGCCTCACCCCTCCTTCAGGCGGCCCCTGGACAGCTCAGAACTGACAGGGCGGCTCCGCTCCCCCTGCAACCAGGGAACAAGGGCCCCCACAGCGAGCATGGGCTGCTGTCTTCAACAGTGCCCCTGAGCTCAAGGGGAGGATGGAGGAGGGGGAGTAAAGATGTCACAGTTTTCCCGCCTTTTTCTTGATTCAGAGTTAAGCCTTTGTTTCCCAGAGTCTGATAAAGCTGACTGATAGTTTTTGCCTGCTCTCTATTTTATGCTTTTACTAGGGGATGTGTCCTTACAGCAGCCCACTCTGTCTCTCACTGACTCTCCCGTACTGGACACTGTAATATTAATTCTGGTAATATCAATGCCCTAATATACAAGAGCATGGAAAGTTGTGTCTTTTTTTTAGCCAAATGATGAGCCTGTTTACCAGGCTACCTGGAGCTGAACGCAGAAGCAAAGCATTGGCCCTGCCGAGGGCAAGCCAGAGACTGCGCGCTCCCAGAGCTGCGTTGACAGTGTCTCTGGACAGGCCGACAGTGCAGCATCCATGGATTACTCCCCCTGCTTCGGGGGGCACACCAGAACCCACTTCATTCCCTCACGTGTCATTTTACTCTTGTTTATCTGTAGGTTGAACATGGGCGATGCTTTTCACTTAATCAGAGACTTCACACTGACCATTCAGTCCATCAGGTACCGTACACTTCTCAGTGTTGGAAGCCCATAGAACCAGTTAAACATCTCTAGGCACACATCACAGTGCTAATAAACACTGTATGTTTTTATACAGAATTTCACTAAGTGAGCTGTGCGGTGATGAGGATGACAATGTTGTGTTAGCATTTCAACAACTGAGTGATGCCTTCAGTAAGAAACTTTGGAAACGAAGATGACGCTGTCTGTGTTAAACCAGGTCCTAGGAACTTCCTGGAAGATGAAGACGGCTAAGAGCTCCCTGCACCTTAGCGCTTCAGGAAAGAGGCTTGCAAATGGCTGTGCAGGAACCACCCTTTCCCATAAGACTCTGATAAGACACCCAGCATTCCCTCGCTTCCCTGTGCCAATGCTTGATTCTCCCTCCAAATTCCCATTCATGTCTCCCAAAAAAGCCAGCTGATGTGTTTTCTTCCCTAAGCAATCTGGACATAATAGCAGTTACCTTGACCTGCTCCTGCTTGACCTTGACCTGCTCCAACTTTACTCAGGATTCTTCCCTCCTCACAGGGGTCCTGAACCGTGGCCCACCCTCAGACTAAGCCCCGCTGAGTGGCCTCTCCTTAAACAGCTCCCCAGTGACATCTCAGATGATTGTCCCCGAGCGGCTGTGCTTGCACACATCAGCTGTGACTGGCAGTGTCAGCCCAGGATGTTCCCCGAGCCACTGTTCACCTCACTCTCCCACAGCTGATTCTAGAAGTAAAATACGTTGCCTAGCTAAAGTATAGGTTGCGTAATTATTGAAAGACATCATAGCAAAGAAACCCTTTTTTTAAATACCTGAATTCTCAACAGAATCTAACATTTTCCTTCTATGAGCATTTTAGCATGCAAAAGTAATATATGCTAAATAGCTCAAACAGTTGCTATTTTCAAATTATTTTAATTGTACTTACTTGTGGGCTGCAGTGTGATAATTTGATAGATGTATGCAATGACTATTTTGGCCTTGAAATGTTCAGATCATGAGAATTTAAAACTAGAAGTCAAGCTCGATTTAAAATTATGTGATAACAGCCCTTAGAAGGGAGTTGGAATCTTGACATTGACTTCAGAAGTCTAATTATTGCTGAGAGTTCATGTTGTCCCCAAGTCCTGTAATGTGAGTGCTCCATTTCATTCCTCCTATCAGACACTTAGGCTCTGGGTACGTTCCCCCATCCCCCCCGAGACCAGCAGGAGCAAGCACACAGGGACTAGACCATATGCTGTTGAAAAAGTCCCATGTGGGATAAGCACAGTAGAACCCTCACCAGGCCATCCGGCTGGATCGCCTTGCTCAGCCTCACCCACCACCGCTCCCGACCACCCTGGTGTGTTGTCTGCTCTGGCTGAGCCCGGGAGTCTTCTGAGCTAAACTCACCTGTCCCTGCCTCTGCTTTCCTTCGTGGCTGGATTGTGGCATCAGTTTGTGTTCTCTCCCAAATCTGAGCTGAGTGTGTTGCTGACCTGCTGAATTGTGGGAGACAGAGGGAATCGGGCTTTACTGATGGCACAAAGCATTTGAGAGTCTTTGATGCCGATCTGAAGAAGTGAAGACAAAAACGTGGAGCGATGGATTTCCTCACATTGCTTGGGCAACTGATTGGCATTACGCTTGGTTGTTAAGATGCCTGGCGTTGTGGCATAGCAGGTAAAGCTGCTGCCTGCAGTGCCAGCACCCCATATGGATGCTGGTTCAAGTCCTGGCTGTTCCACTTCCAATCCAGCTCTCTGCTATGGCCTGGGAAAGCCGTAGAAGATAGCTCAGGTCCTTGGATGCCTGTACCTGCGTGGGAAACCTGGAAGAAAATCCTGGCTCCTGGCTTCGGATCAGCACAGCTCTGGCCATTGTGGCCAATTGGGGAGTGAACCAGCAGATGGAAGACCTCTCTCTCTCTCTTTGCCTCTCCTCTCTCTGTGTAACTCTGACTTCCAAATAAATAAATACATCTTTAAAAAAAAGCCTTTGTCCCACCTAGTAGTGCTTTTGTTCAGTGCCTGGCTCTGGCTCCTGATTCCAGCTTCCTGCTAATGTGGACCCCTGGTGGTGGGGGTGTGGGTGGTTGGTGATTGCTTAGGTAGTTAGATCTCTGCCATTCACATGGAGAACCAACTTTGGTTCCTGTCTCTTGGTTTTTGTCACAGATGGGAGGTCTCAGCCTGTCAGTTTCTCTGCTTCTCAAAATAAAAATTAGCAGGAGATAAGTTGCCTTTAACAGAGTGTTGTCAAATATGCATATCTTATTAGGACATCCAAGTCTCTTGTGAACTTGATATGCATATGTCTGGCTGCATTTTGCTGCTTTATATGCATTTTATTTTATTTATGTATTTTTTTATTTAGTAAATATAAATTTCCAAAGTACAGTTTATGGATTGCATTGGCTCCCCCCCATAATTTCCCTCCCACTCGCACCCCTCCCATCTTCTGCTCCCTCTCCCATTCCATTCCCATCAAGATTCATTTTCAATTATCTTTATATACAGAAGATCAATTCAGTATATATTAAGTAAAGATTTCATCAGTTTGCACCCACACAGAAACACAAAGTGTAAAAATACTATTTCAGTACTAGTTATAGCATTACTTCACATTGGACAACACATTAAGGACAGATCCCACATGAGAATTAAGTACACAGTGACTCCTGTTGTTGACTTAAAAATTTGACACTCTTGTTTATGGCATCAGTAATCTCCCTAGGCCCTAGTCATGAGTTGTCAAGGCTATGGAAGCCTTTTGGGTTCGCCGACTTTGATCTTATTCTGACAGGGTCATAGTCAAAGTGGAAGTTCTCTCCTCCCTTCAGAGAAAGGTACCTCCTTCTTTGATGGCCCTGTTCTTTCCACTGGGATCTCACTCGCAGATCTCACTTGCAAGAGATCTTTCATTTAGTGTTTTTTTTTTTTTTTTTTTTTTTTTTTTGCCAGAGTGTCTTGGCTTTCCATGCCTAAAATACTCTCATGGGCTCTTCAGCCAGATCTGAATGTCTTAAGGGATGATTCTGAGGCCAGAGTGCTATTTAGGACATCTGCCATTCTATGAGTCTGCTGTGTATCCCGCTTCCCATGTTGGATCGTTCTCTCCCTTTTTGATTCTATCAGCTAGTATTAGCAGACACTAGTCTTGTTTGTGTGATCCCTTTGACTCTAAGTCCTATCAGTGTGATCAATTGTGAACTGAAATTGATCACTTGGACTAGTGAGATGGCATTGGTACATGCCACCTTGATGGGATTGTATTGGAATCCCCTGGCACATTTCTAACTCCACCATTTGGGGCAAGTCCGATTGAGCATGTCCCAAATTGTACGTATCCTCCCTCTCTTATTGCCACTCTTATATTTAACAGGGATCACTTTTCAGTTAAATTTAAATACCTAAGAATAATTGTGTGTTAATTACAGAGTTCAAACAATAGTACTAGAACAAAAAAATACTAAAATGGTTATGGGACATGTACTCTATAGAATACTATACAGCAGTCAAAAACAATGAAACCCGGTCATTTGCAACAAGATAGAGGAATCTGGAAAACATTATGCTGAGTGAATTAAGCCAGTCCCAAAGGGACAAATATCATATGTTCTCCCTGATTGGCGACAACTAACTGAGCATTTTATTTTAAAGACTGCCATAGGAGTTCACTTGAACTTTATTGTATTTTTACAGAAGTTTGAAAATTCCTCTAAATAGGATGATCACACAATGCATTTTCCTTGCTGTCCCAAAATACACTAAGGAAAGTCTTGAGTAGATTCCCTGTCGGGTACAGATAATTCTCATTTAAATAAAACCTATTCTGGGGCCGGCACAGTGGATTAAGCTGCCACCTGTGACATTAGTATCCCATAAGAACACCCAGCTGCTCTACCTCTGATCCAGTTCCCTGCCAGTGTACCTGGGAAAGCAGACAAAGATGGTTCAAGTGCTTGGGTCCTTGTACCCACATGGAGGACTTGGATGGAGTTCTAGGTTCCTGGCTGCTTGTGGCCATTTGGGTAGTGAACCACAGATGGAGGATCTCTCTCTTTCATTCTCTATCTCTCCCTCTGTGTTAACTCTGCCTTTCAAATGATTAAGTCTTGAAGAAAAACCAAAACACCGTATTCCATGGCAATATTGTTATTATTCCATCATATACAAATTAATTCTTTGATGATCAAATAACAGGTGCAAATCCTTGATCATAGATTTTCATTCATAGATTTTGGAATAATTTTACAGACAGAAGAGAAAATTTGATCTTGTAGTTTGGTGGTGGTGTGAGTGACAACGCATGTGTCACACTCTGTGCTCTGATGTGTCTGTGAAGAGTGCCCGGCGCTCCCCATCCTCCCCTCTGTGTCAGCAGTCCTCCATGTCACCAGCACAGATGGCCAGCAGTGCCTTCTTATAGTGCCCTGAAGCAAAGTGCTGAAAAGGAAAGAAAAAAAAATACAACGTATATGAAATAAAATTGTCGGAGAAACACAGTGTTTCTGAAGTGCAAAATTAGCCTTCCCAAAATTATTCACTTTTTTTTAATCTAAAGATTTAATGTTTCTGAGAATGGTTCCCAGTGAAACCACTGAAACATAATGCTGTGGGGATAGTCAGCAGTGTGTGGGTGAAAGCGCGTTGATTGACGTCTGCTTAGCACAACAGTGACTTGCAGTAGAATTCAATCTCCTCAGCTGTAGAAAGAGCTGTCTTACATTATTATTGGTATAAATCAGGGCGGAGCCTGGGGAAAAATTGTTGCTGCATCTCCAAAGATTTAAAAATGCTCATATTCATGAATGCAGTAATCCTATCTCAGGAAATAGATTTGAAATTATTAGTTATGCTGTGTATAATAGTGAAAAACTGAAAAGCGGTGTAAAATCATGTGAGGTAGCTTAAGTATGTTACAGTTTATAGAGTGGGATACCATGATTCAGTAGAAGGATTCCTTTTATTAATGAGACATATCAGTAGTTATTTATTTTTAAAAGACAACCCAAAGCAGCCATCTATTTGGGTTGCTATAACAAAATACCATCAAGCTGGAATGTTATAAATGACAAGAACTTATTTCTCTTGGATCTGGGTGCTGGAATGGCCAAGATCAAGTTGCTGGCAGATCCGGTGTCTACCCAGGGTCCGTGCTCATATGGACAGCCGCCTTCTCACTCTAACCTCATGTGGTGAACCCCATTCTATGAAGACATTAATCCCATACAGAGGATTAGGAGACTAGGATTTCCCCATCTGAATTTTGTGGGGTCCTCCAACATTCAGACCATAGCAGCACCTACAACAAAATTTTATTCTGCGGTGGAGAATTAGGGAAGTTTTTATTTTTACTTTTTTGCTCTTCTGTAGTTTCTAAATTTCCCCAAACAATGATAGTAATAAATAAAATATGATAAAAATTTATCTTTGTTAAAAAATCAGCTATCGTATTAATGTTCTCTTGCACAATGTTGTCATGTAATTCTCATTCACGGCTTTGAATGCATCCTGAAGTTGCTCTAATTATGTGAACTCTTAGCAGACTTTGAGGTGGCTGAGATTCATTATGCTAAGCAGCTAAGACCTAGCCATTCATGTGGAGAAGGAGTTATGACCTGCATTGCTCCATGGGAAATATTTAGTGTCCCAAACGAGTTGAAGGTTTCGGAGGTTTTAGAGGTGGATGTAAGGAGAGCTTTAGCAAAGATAAAGGAATTGGATTCCCTTAACTGCTCCACCTGGGCTGCAAAGGGCCTGCAAAGTCTTCTGGATTTATGATCTCTGGGTCTTTGGGTTGTTGAATTGCTTCTGGATCACTCTTCCAATAAATTAAAGAGCTGTTTCCAGAAGTTGAAAATTTCCATTGAAAACACATGAACAAGGATACAGCCCTTAGCTCTGTGCAGATGCAAACTATGACATGTTCTCAGTGCCCCATTGCCAGCATCTTTAGAATTAGTTTGAACAAGAGGCCAAGGAGTGTTTATTTTTCACTGGGTCCTAAAAATTACATAGCTGATCTTATGTATTCTGATAGCTTTTATCAAAACCCACAGTAGAGGTTAGAGGTATCAGGATGAAGAGCTGACTTGTTTCCTTCTGATGTGTAGAGTGTTCTACAACCAGTAGTGCCAAACTTCACAGTGGCCGGTTGACAGCGTCTGGCTGGCTGCTTGCTTTCCATGGCTTGTGAGAGCCCAGCTGGACTGGTTTTAGAATCTCTTCACCATTAATATGATCTTGCTGCAAAAACGTGTTTTTCCTCATCCTGATCACACTTCAGAATTTAGCTCATAAGGTGCAATTCTAGGGCATGGATGTTTTATTTGGTTACATCTGTGATTTACCTTAGACTAAGAGGAGTCAGCTCTGTCAATTCAGGTGAAGGGGTTGTCTGCTGGCTGCAAACTGTTGTACTCAAAGGCAACAGTAGTAGTTGCTCGAGTAGTAACCCAGACTGCCCCTATTAGGACTCTACCAAGAAAGCATTCAAATCAAAGCGTTTAGCACAGTCACAGTTTCAGAAACGATGAGAAGGGGGTCACGTTGCTCACACGCAGTAGACTTACTCTGATATCATGAAACAGGGATTTCCCATATCTCTCTTTGTACCGTGTTCTTATGGTCATCAAGTCTATTTCACTTCTAGCAATGAGGATCCGGATCACGGTTTTATTATGGAAACCAAAGTCCTAAAAGATACAGAAGGGGAGGGAGGTGGGTTGAGGAAATAGTACTTGAGCATCAAGAGAGATTGAGCCCTTGGCTGGAGCGACTGCTGTTCTCCTAGTCCTCAAATGCAGGCACTGCTGTCCCATCCCATGGTGCTCAGCCTGACCCTGAGAGCTGCCTCTGTGACTTCTGCTCACTTCAAGCGCACTTAGGGTGAGTTATTCTGTTCCACCTGACGTCTCGCCTGCCCTGGGTCATGGCCTTGACTCTGACCCCTGTCCTTTCTTCCTGACTCTGTAATAGTTTCTCCCTTTTCCATCCTGGCCAACCTTCATATTGTCTCTGTCACATTTCATGCTGTAAATGGCAAATCTCATTATGTGTTCTTTCTAGATAAATATCCTGGGGAGGAGAGATTCCAACCTTTATTAGTAGATCATGGATATAAGACATTACATTGTCATTACATTGTCATTCTGTAATCTGGTGATTGTTGAAAAGTTGTAAAAATAAGAGCCCCAGGTGCTTGAAGTACTTTCTGATTTAAATACCCCAGAATACAAGATCAATGGCCATGTACTTCTCGCAGATATACTGCTTGACAAATGGTTCCAACTCTTTCCAGATTGGGGAATGGTGATCTCTAGTGGCCAGCAAGCATAATGCAATTTTTGATAATTGGGATAATAGATCTCACAATTTGAGGTGATTAAAATGAATGATCCAACCAAGTTCCCAAATGTAGATTGTAGGTCATTAACTTAGAGTGCCCTGGGGAGAACACAGGAAGATGCTTTAGTGTGTGAATGGGGAAATGGCCTTTTTGACAAATATTTGGCATCTGAGGTCCTCATATATCAGACATTTGATTACCTGACTATGCAGCCCTCCCCCTCGCCTCCCAACCACTTGTGAGTGCACACGCCTTCCTGCTCCCATACAACCTATGGACATATGCGATACTTAGACTAAGTAGCTCTGAATTTAGGCATCAGTGGGATCAGGGTAGCTGAGGTGATTTTCCATGGTCATGGACTAGTGAAGCTTTCTCTGTTGTTAGCTCTTTGGAGCAAAGACTTGAATCACCCCATAGCTTTGCCCAACACACTGCTCTACTTCAAATACAACTTCAATCAAATCAATCTTTTCTCCTTGGAAGGGTTACTTCCTTTCTATAACTGGAACTTACTTCGGTTCTTGTGCGTAAATAAATACTCAACTCAGAAGATGCACAATAAAGTACCCTTGACTATAAGTATTTTCTTGGCATGCTGGCTGCATTTAAGAAGTTGGTGTATAAAAATTACTTTGAAGATAAAGCTACTAAAATTACTGTGTCATTAGATTTTTTTAAGTTTTCAAGGTTCTCTCTCTACACACACACACACACACACACACAGATGTATATACAATCTTCAAATATATTTCATGCACATTATGGATAAAGTGTACATGAGAGGACTTCAGAAAGTTTGTGGAAAAATAGAATTAAAAAATAAGTATTTTGGTGCAAAAAAGTTTAAAATCTATGTCTAGTTTTGTTTTTATAATATGAATTTTATATTCTTTTTTTTTTTTTTTTTGACAGGCAGAGTGGACAGTGAGAGAGAGACAGAGAGAAAGGTCTTGCTTTTGCCATTGGTTCACCCTCCAATGGCCGCTGCGGCCAGTGTGCTGCGACCGGCGCACCACGCTGATCCGATGGCAGGAGCCAGGTGCTTCTCCTGGTCTCCCATGGGGTGCAGGGCCCAAGCACTTGGGCCATCCTCCACTGCACTCCCTGGCCACAGCAGAGAGCTGGCCTGGAAGAGGGGCAACCGGGACAGAATCTGGCGCCCCGACCAGGACTAGAACTCTGTGTGCCGGTGCCGCAAGGCGGAGGATTAGCCTAGTGAGCTGCGACGCCGGCTGAATTTTATTTTCTTAAAGACTGTATAAATGCATGGATTTCAAAATTTGGGCATCAAAACAAATTTATCTTTTAAATCCATTTCCATGAACTTTTTGAAGTCCCCTCATATTATCTGGTGTACCTGTTTGTTTCCCTAAACACAAATGCTCCAAAGAATGTGATTATCATAATAAAATGTGAAAAAAAATGTCAATTATAAAATAGCTTAGAATTTAGCACTGTCTAGCCATTACTTTAAGTATGTTTGGAAAACAACACCTCATGTTTAAAAATAACCATTAGCATTATTTTGTGTTTTTAAACTTTAGGAAAGTAGCAATTCCTTGCCAAGAGTATAATTTTTTGACATGTTCTTCTTGGTGCCACATATTTTGTGTTTGCATAAGATGATGTGCGCTCTTTGGAAATAAAAAGCATTTGAATTTGCCATTTCTGTGGCTGCTGAGACTCCAAAGGACATGGGGGACAGGAAAACAAAGAACCACACTTCTTAGGTACCTACATCTGTACAGAGAGCAGAGCACTACTTTTCTTTGATGAGTCTTATTTCCGTTGCATAACATGATTTTTTTCCCCACTTGGACATATATTTTTTGTACCTGTTTACATACATGTTCAAGAATGGAAATCAATATTTAAATAATCGAAATAAAAATAGCTATTGGAGAAAACAGATTCCATTTCTGAAGAAAGTTTGAAAACGTGTGGGTCTTACTTACATGGATGGCACTGTGCAGTCGATAAGCAAAGTAGGCTGGTTTATCTCGAACACAGAGCACTAGGAGAAATCAGAATGAAAAGGAGGAGCGCTGGGTGTGATAATGTTTGAGAAACAACGAGATGCTTTTTTCCTGCTGTTACAATCCTCATGTTGAATGGTGATTTCAACATGTAGAGCAATGATCACACTTGTGACAGTTTATGACACCAAGGTGAGATCATTCCTGTCATCTCTAGACAGAATTCGGGCTGGGGCCGGCGCCGCGGCTCACTAGGCTAATCCTCCGCCTAGCGGCGCCGGCACACCAGGTTCTAGTCCCGGTTGGGGCGCCGGATTCTGTCCCGGTTGCCCCTCTTCCAGGCCAGCGCTCTGCTGTGGCCAGGGAGTGCAGTGGAGGATGGCCCAGGTGCTTGGGCCCTGCACCCCATGGGAGACCAGGAAAAGCACCTGGCTCCTGGCTCCTGCCATCGGATCAGCGCGGTGTGCCGGCCGCAGCGCGCCGGCCACAGCGGCCATTGGAGGGTGAACCAACGGCAAAGGAAGACCTTTCTCTCTGTCTCTCTCTCTCACTGTCCACTCTGCCTGTCAAAAAAAAAAAAAAAAAAAAAAAAAAAAGAATTCGGGCTGGGAAGTATTGCAGGAACGGCTCATGTCTGTCTGTCCGGGATAACAACTTTCTTGAGATCCCAAAGCGATTCTTTCTCTTCTACAAGCACTCCATGCTTTGTACTACTCACACCTGCAGGTATCCACAGATTTCGGGAACAAGGTTGATCTTGAACACTGTTTATGATTGCAGCTTATTCAGACAAAATGCTCTAGAGAGAACGCTTGTCCAGCAATGGACCAACACCCATGAACTGATGTCAACTGCTGCCTTGGTTTTCCAAGAACAAAGAACTTCGTATCCAAGTCCTTGCATAAATTTCTTCCCTTTGCCTAAATAAACCTCCTTGAACCCTCCCATAGTTTACTAAAACACTCATATCCCCTTCACAATGCTCTGTCGTTGTCAAATCCATGTCTTCATTCTTTAGAGACTCTCTTCTCTGATTGTTATTTAGACTGATACACCACAACTCTTAGAAAACACATGAAGCAGCAGTGTTGTAATGATTCATTCAGAATTTCATTTAATCTCTCTCTTTCTCTTGGAACTCTGTTGGTTCCTGGAAAAGCAAAGTTTGTCATCTTTGAAAAGGAACTAAGTAGGGCTTCCAAAAGGCCCAGTTTATCAGCATTGTTACTGAAGCTTTGCTAATGTGGGATTCACCAAGACATAGCCCCCATGCAGTTCCTTCATCTTCCCAAATGCTACTTTTAGTCCCTTATAGACTTGTGGGTAGATCTGAAGTCACTTAAGCAGAACATGTAAGGGCCATAACTAGTCTAGGCCAGTTTTAGGAGTCATCCAATCAAAACTGCCATAGCATTAGAACAGCATAGAGCCTTGGTCAACAACTATCCTGGATGGAATTCAGTTGATGACTGTAGCACTCAACAGAGTAAGTGGATGAATGCGTGACTGAGTGATTAATGTGTGAGAGGTTATGACATAGAATAACCGTAGAATAAGTGCATCGCAACAGCATTTTCTCTGTCGTTCAAGTAATTGCTTTAGGTTGTGAGCCCACATCTTCCTCCCTCTCCTGAACAGTGAACTCAGTGATCGCCCTTGAGTCCCTTCTGGGATGTGAGCTCCTTGAAGGAGGAGGACTTTCGCTGTGTCTGTTGATGCTTTCCTCTTCCGTCTGCAGTGCCTACATCAAAGGTCAGTAGTGCTCACTGAGTGAGTTAATGACTCAAGGTAAGATGTTTTATGGTGTTTCTGATACCCACTGTGGCCTGTCTTATGTCCACGCTTTGTGCCAATGATCTACATTGGAAAGAGAGCTGGCAAGGTTCAGATGACATGAGCTCCACTCGTAACTTTGTTGCTCATTAGCTCATAGACTTTGGAAGTCACTTAACCTCCTTTGGCCTTGTTTGTAAATGGCAGGGTTTTGATGTGATGTATGGTTACTAGATTTTGTTGAGAATTTTCTAGAACATATGTACCTTATTGTCAGAAAAATACAAAGATGTAAGCAGTCATATACTCTTTCAGGGTTTTGTAAACTCCACCAGACCATTTTCATAGAAACTGCACCCCATGGGAGACCAGGAGCAGCACCTGGCTCCCGCCTTTGGATCAGCGTGGTGCACCGGTCGCAGCGCGCCGGCCGTGGCAGCCATTGGAGGGTGAACCAACGGCAAAAAGGAAGACCTTTCTCTCTCTCTCTCTCTCACTGTCCACTCTGCCTGTCCAAAAAAAAAAAAAAAAAAAAAAAACAACTCCTTTACTAGATAAACTATGAGAATACTGTTCTCAGCTCCATGTTCATGCAGGTATATGCTATTCTATGCATGGAAAATCAAAATGCTCATTGATTTTGCTCATATCCAAGTAATTCCTGCGTACCTACTATGGGGATATTTCACAATGACCTGTCTTTTATAGTCATTGAACTGTCACAACCCAGGACAAGAAAAGCAAGGGTGACTTATGGTTGATTTTGTAGATAACTATCACTGTTTCTCTGCATGGAAGGTAGTGTTTTTCTACCTAGGAAGCAGGGGGAAGTGTGTGTCTCACAATTGTCTGCAGAAATCACGACTAAATAACAACTCAGTGAATCTCTTTTAGGTAGGATTTACTCTTTTTTTTTTTTTTTTTTTTTTTTTTTTTTTTACTCTTAAACTTTTTGGAGAAGGTGACCAACTCTTCTCCACCTCCCTACCAACCCAAACAAAAAACTAAAACCCCTTTTCTTCTTGGAGGAAAAGAAGCCACATGGCTGGCCTTGATCTGCTCTTGAACAGGGGATCAGGAATCAGAAAATGTGACATGGATTTAACAGAGTGAGAACCGTTCCTGAGAGACAGCATCCGAGAATGCTGTTTGTTAGTCAGAAAGTTGACGCAGATGTTAGAAGAGCGCTCAGTTCTTCAGTAAAGTCATCAGCCTGGCCGTATTGTACGTTCTGTCTCCTGATGTCCTTTCTCTATGTAGGGTTTATATCCCCTTTAAATAATTATTCAGTGGAGAACAGCCAGGCCAGCCAAGAGCTCACTCATGCACCTGTAATTCACTAATTCACTCTGGCACACACAGGTCCGCTGAACCTCATATTTATGATCACTCACCAATGGCAACCAGCAGCTGCTGGAAGTATCCGTCGTAACAATCATTGATGGCATCTACTATGTCTTGCCCAGAGATATTTTGAAATTCCTGGAAAACTTCAACAAATTGGTAGAATTCAAAGGAGATTTTTTTGTATCATAACAATTGCTGATTGCCGTACATAATGAAGGTGAACATTTTATGTAAAGCAATGGACAATACTGCTATTGGTTGTGTAAGTGGAGTCAGCATAGATCTTGGACTTCAAGGATCTACTATTCTCTTCTGGGGAATGATCACTACTTCCTGGGGATCACTGCTGATTTAAATTGACAGGAGGCACATGTCTAGCTGTTATTTATGGGCCTTTTGTTTAGGACATACACTCAGCTGTACTTAGATCAATAGCAAACTTCTTCTAGAGCTTAGATATTAGAATAAATAAGTGTTAAAATTCTTTGAGTCAGGGCTGGCGCTGTGGCGCAGTGAATTAAGGCCCTGGCCTGAAGCACCGGCATCCCACAAGGGCACCGGTTCTAGTCCCGGCCGCTCCGCTTCTGATCCAGCTCTCTGCTGTGGCCTGGGAAAGCAGTAGAAGATGGCCCAAGTCCTTGGGCCCCTGCACCCGTGTGGGAGACCTGGAAGAAGCTCCTGGCTCCTGGCTTTGGATAGCTGCAGCTCCAGCCATTGCGGCCAATTGGGGAGTGAACCATCAGATGGAAGACCTCTCTCTCTGCCTCTTCTCTCTCTATGTAACTCTGCCTTTCAAATAAATAAATAAATCTTTAAAAAAGTTCTTTTAGTGATGATTAAATTGTGATCATACAATCTAGGAAGAGGTGCAGGTGTTCAGCCTAGCAGTTAAGATGCCATGTTTCATCCCAAATCAGAGTGCCTGGGGTTGATTCACAGCTCTGCTCCCAATACCAGCTTCCTGATAATAAAAACTTTGGGAGGCAGCAGGTGATGGCTCATGTAATTGGGTTCCTGCCACTCAAGTTGGGAGACCTGGATTGAGTTACCGGCTCCCCCACTCTGACCTTGGCCTAGTCGTTGAGGATATTTGGGGAGTGAACCAATGGATGGGAGTTCTCTGTCTCTCTCCCTATCAAGTAAAAGGTAATATGTTAAAAAGAAGCTATGGGCCGGCGCCACGGCTCACTAGGCTAATCCTCCACCTGTGGTGCTGGCACCCCAGGTTCTAGTCCCGGTTGGGGTGCCGGTTCTGTCCCGGTTGCTCCTCTTCCAGTCCAGCTCTCTGCTGTGGCCCGGGAGGGCAGTGGAGGATGGTCCAAGTGCTTGGGCCCTGCACCCGCATGGGAGACCAGGAGGAAGCGCCTGGCTCCTGGCTTCGGATTGGCGCAGTGCCAGCCATAGCGGCCATTTGGGGGGTGAACCAACGGAAGGAAGACCTTTTTCTCTGTGTCTCTCTCTCACTGTCTAACTCTGCCTGTCAAACAAACAAACAAACAAACAAAAAAACAAACAAACAAACAAAACAAAACAAAACACACACACACAAAAACAAGAAGCAGCAGCAGCAGCAGCAGCAGCTATGGGGGCTGGCATTGTAGTGTAGCAGGTAAAGCTACTGCCTGTGATGCTGGCAGCCCCTGTGGGCATCAGTCTGAGACCTGGCTGCTCCACTTCCACTGTCCCACTGCTAATGCATCTGGGAAAACAGTGAAAGATGGCCCAAGTGTAGGCCATTGCCACCCACTTCAGAGACCTGGAAGAAGCTCCTGGACCCTAGGTTTGGCCTGGTCCTGTCCTGACCATTGTGGCCATTTAAGGAGTGAACCAGTGAACGAAGCTCTCTCTTTTTGTATCTCTACCTCTCTCTCTGTAATTATGCCTTTCAAATAAATAAGTAAATCTTAATCTATGAGGAGTTTTATGAGGACTATGAAATCTCTATTAGGGGCATAGGGTGGCGTTTACTCAGCCAATTTTGCTAAATTAAGCTTCCTATTTCAAGAACTTACTTATCTGGCTTTAACACAGGAAACTAAGTTTTCATTCATTCTTACAGCAAATTGGAAGTGAGGAGGTATCTTTTTACTATGATTTCTAATTAACATATAGAGTAGTGGGGAGTAGGTCTCTCAAAAAATTCTTATAGACTTTGGTGCTTTATATAGAAAAAAAACAGTTTTTTTTTTCAACTTTTAACATTTTAAAAACTAAGTACTGTACAGGATTAAGTGGTACCATGTGGTGGTTCATGGTGTTCAAATCAGGGTAAACATCTCTATCTCCTCAAACACTTATCATGATGAAAACATTCAAAATCCTTTCTTCCAGCTTATTTTGAGAAAAATACAAAGGTCGTTATCTGTGTTCTCCCTATTGTGCAGGAGAACTTCAGAGCTGCCTGCTCCTATCCAGTGTAACTTAAGCACCTGTTAGCCAGCCTTTTCCCAGCCTCCCCCCACCCCTTCTCTCCCCAGCCTCTGGATTCGACTCTCAACTTCTATGAGGTCAACTTACAAAGTCGATGCTTTCGTTTCTAAGTAAGGGAACAAGGCACTGACATTTGGGGAAAGTCAGACTAATGTCAGCGTCCTTCTGAGACCACTGAGACACTCCTGCTGTCACACAGATTGTGTCAGGAGCAGTGACCCTGGCTGTTACGGACTCATGGAACCATGCTCCTCAGCCAGTTTTCAAGGAAACATACAGTGTAATTGACAGGAAATAGCTAATTTTTGGAGTAAGTTCTTCATCAAAAAATAGATATCAATTTTAAAAGGTTCAGTATTTGGAAGTTTACGCAATTTAGTAAACGCAAATAATAAAAGTATAGAGAAAACTGTATTCCTTGGTAATGCCCTGAGATGAAGCAAATCCGTACCAACAGGATTCAAAAAGTAGCTTTGAAGTAAATGGACTTTCCTTTGTTGCACCTTTTTTACTACTTAGCTACTTGCTTTTTTAAAAAGTTATATTTGTTTGAAAGGAAGAGTTGTGGTGGTGGGGGGAGTGAGAGAGGGATTGATCTTCAGTTCTCTGGTTACTTCCCAATGGGCCAGCTCGAAGCCAGGAGTCAGGAGCTCCATCAGGGCCTCCCGCCTGGGTGGCAGGGACTCAGCTATGGGCCATCACCTGCTCCCCAGGTGCATTAGCAGGGAGCTGGAACACAAGCAGAGGACACGGGACTCCAGCTGGTGCTTGATATGGCATGTGATATGGGATGTGGGAGTCACAGGTGGTGGCTTAACCCGTGTCCCAGCCCCAGCCCCAGCCCCATGAATGTTCTGTTTTCTGTGTCATAATCAGTGGAGGAGCTGGAAAGAGCCCCCGCTCATCCTCACCCAGCCACAGCTGCTGGTAGCTCTTGTTGCACAGGATCATCTGGAGCATGGTTTTGTGCGCCCCGGTCTTCTGCTGGCAGGCCTCCCACAGCACCTGGAACAGTACACAGCCCGCAGGTGTGTCAGACCCACCCAGCCGCTCCCACACAGGCTGTACACAGTCAGGGCCAGCGTGGGCTCTAGTTACCATTGCGTCCTGGGCGGCCATGGCGGGGTCCGTGTAGCCCTCCTGTCTGGTTGCCTGTAGAATAAGCACAGGTTTTCCTTGTAAGTGACTCAGTAGACGTTGACAAAAATCCTGGAACCATCACATGCTCAGGTCATTCCTGAGCAAATTCTTTTCTTTCTTTTTTTTTTTTTTTTTTGACAGGCAGAGTGGACAGTGAGAGAGAGAGAGAGAGAGAGAAAAGTCTTCCTTTGCCGTTGGTTCACCCTCCAATGGCCGCCACAGCTGGCGTGCTGCGGCCAGCGCACCGCGCTGATCCGAAGGCAGGAGCTTCTCCTGGTCTCCCATGGGGTGCAAGCCCAAGGACTTGGGCCATCCTCCACTGCACTCCCTGGCCACAGCAGAGAGCTGGCCTGGAAGAGGGGCAACCGGGACAGAATCCAGCACCCCAACCGGGACTAGAACCCGGTGTGCTGGCACTGCTAGGTGGAGGATTAGCCTAGTGAGCCGCGGTGCCGGCCCTGAGCAAATTCTATCACTGTTTGGAGTAAGTCTCTATTTCTTGACTACTTCGTCTTCATCCTGTGTGATCCACGGTAGCAGGATCTGGGGCAACCACGCTGTGCTCTGTGCTCTCCTTGCTGCGTGCCCCTTGCTCAGCTCACAGGATTGGGCTCTCTCTCTGTCTTTCCTTCTTTCTCACTGGTTACGCCTCCTCCCGTGAATTGGTTCCTCTTACTTTCCGGTAAGTCCCTGTACTTAGTCACTGACCGTCTTCTCTGTATTTACACTGCTTCTCTTGGTACTCTTATCTATACCTGTGGCTCTGGATCCCATCTGTGTAGTCTCACCCGAATAGTGTGCTGGTACCCAGATTTACATCTGTCATCTGAACCTCTGATGTGTCTATTCCAGTTGCCAACTCAACTTCTCCACTTGATTCTCCTTTATATATACCAAATTCCTCCTTCAAAATCCAACTCTTGGCCTCGCGTCACCACAGGCACTCCTTAAACTCCCGTCTTCCACATCTCTGTTGCTTGCCACTCCGCACCCCCTGCTCAGACTGAAAAACTGAGAGTCACATTTGGGTGCTTCTTTCCCTCGTATCCCACGTCCAGTTTCTCAGGAAACACCAACAGACTTTACCTCCACAGTCCATCCAGAATCTGGGCACCTTTCACTCCTGCCGCTGCTCCCATAAGGGGTCGCGTAGATGCTCTATCATGGCTTTACTAAAGATACAGCCCTCTGCAGGCTGCTGTTTGACTCCTGTCTCCCTCTAGTATTCTCACAAGGCGGCATCTACTGTGAGCATTTGTAAAGCTAAAGATCACATCGTTCCTTTCCTCAAACTCCAGCGTGGAGGGACTTCTCCCCCATTTCACTCAAATAAGAGGTGCGGTCCTTCCAGTGGCTGCAGGATCAGGGATCATCTCACCACTTGCGACGTCTCTGACTCCCTCTATTCACCCACCACTCCCATGCATTTCGCTGGCTGTCCTATATGGCACCAACTGGCCTCCTTGCTACACCTCAAACCCATCGACTATTTTCTTAGACGTTTTCTAGAGTTGTACACTTTGCTGCGACAGCCTGCCATGTCTGTTCATTTGTTGATTGACTCTTTCATGCACCTCTTTCCTCACATTTCACCTTCTCAGTGGGACCTACTCTGATCAACCTATATCATATTGCAACCTGCCTACAACACCTGTCTCTCTCACCCTGCTCTGCTGTGTCTTTCGTCAACTTCTAAAATTCTATGTAAGCTGCCTGTTTTGTAGACTTACGTTGAGTTGTGCATTCCCCCTTGCTAGAACATAAACAACTTAAGGGGCTGGGAACTCTGTTTCTGTTGTTCACTGATAATTCCCCGAGTGTCTCAAATTATGCTCGGCACACACTGCGGGCCTTCCAGAAACTGTCGTTGGAAAGGTCAGAAACTTCAAAGATCGGTTGGTAGACGTGGGGAGATTTTTCTGGATCATTGACATTTCCTCGGTGACCTCCAGTGTCCCTAGACAGCTTAGTACATTCCGACCCTGGCAAAATTGGTGAGAAAAACAAGAATTCCCTGAAGTTCTACATCTCTGACACATCGTTTGCAAAGATGGTATTTTTGGACATTTAACTTGAAATGGTGCCCATCTGCTTACTTTCCTGTGCAGTCAATTGCCAAAGACACTTAGATATGATGGACTGAGAAATGTGAATAACTAAGTTTGTGATTTTACTCTTTCCATAAAGTCAGACAAGGGTGACTTGGTCGTGTAAAGATCCCAAGATAGTCACTTGATATATTTAATAGGTGCCAGAGAAATGGCAAAAAAAGAGTACAGGACTTAAAGAAGGGTCAAGATAAAAATGTGGAGGGGAGAAACTGAGGGGAGTAACATTTGGCTGAGAATATTTGGGGCTAATAATTCATAGATGAAAGCTCCTGGCAATAGCATCTCTGGAGGCCTCACTGCCAAGTTTGAGAGGTGATAACATGCACAGTCCTGGGAGCCAGAGGGGAGTAAGCATGCAACTTGAGAGCTTCCATTACTTTCTCTCCTCATGTTCTTTTCTCAGCATTGGCTTTCCTTTTTATTTTTTATTTCGGTATTCCCAATTCAAAATTAACAGCACACATGTGCACACAGACACACGCACACAGAATAAAGAATTAAATCCATGTGGCTTGGCACTATGACTTCGTATTCTAGTCTGACATGCATATTTATTAATTCTTCAACTGAATCCTATAAACATATGTGAACTGCAATATGAAGTTGTAGCCATGATTAGATACACATTAAAGGAGACCACAGCCTCTGTGTTGGACGTGTTCGTCCGCCCCAAATGAGGAAAATGGAAGGATGATGGAAGAAAAGAAAGTAATATTGAAGAGTAGGTTCCTTGAGATGTCTTAAGGGAAATGATTACCTCCCTCCCTCCTAGCCTCTTTGAAATTTGCTTGTTTTGTTCCTTATTGAAACTCATCAAAATAAACAAAAATAATACAAACACACATGGGACTAAATTGTGTTTGCGCATACTGTATGGCAAAAATAAAATAGAAGGAATAAAAGACTACAAGTTAGCTTCATCTTTGGCTTTTTATTCATCTCAAAGAAACTATTCCTGGTAGGATCAATTACATGGAAAAATATATCTGATATATTCAGATTAAAATGAGATACTTATGCCCTTTATATGATATTTCCTCTTTGATGATATGATAAATATCATTAATCTACATGAAAGATGGAAAGCAGGACCAAGAAACTTATATGCTGGGTCTCCTAAAAGGTAATTTGAAAGCATGTGCAAAAAAACATAAAGCATGGATAAAAATGCAAAGATATTTTCCTTTTAAAAGTACTTTTAGGAGAGAATGCTCAGCATTTTTGTTTGGTTATACACACTACCCTTTTAGAACTTCTTGTGCCTAAGGTAGTCACCTGTATGAGTTTTCTCTGATTGGCATATTCTTCTCCACTTTACCGTCTTCTGGGGCCCGTTTGCCTTTCCTGGTTGTAGAGTTCATTTCTCTTTACAGCTTTCATGCACGCTGGAGGCTGATCGCCAAACGTGTTTCACTTTCCTTCAAGACCAACAGCTGCACTGTGTTTTGCCCCCTTGATAGAACACAGGGCTTACTTGAGGCTTGGCCAGTGAAACTTAGGCAAGACTACATGCATCACAGTGAAGCTCGTAAAAGCTGCCATTGCCTTTCTACTCTGCGTGTTGGCCTTTCTACTCTGCGTGTTGATGACACGCTTGGGACGCTTGCAAAGCAGGTGCTGCAGTGGGTGGAGACTGAGACTGGAGGTTGCTTTGTGGGGGAGAGCTCCTCCATGATCATAGCAACCTGGTCTGGTCCTCATGTGAGCTTTGCAAATGACATTTACTTTATGATTTTAACTGTGTATTGCAAGAAAGAGATGAGCTCATGGAATAAGGGACTGGCTTGCAAGCAGAAATAAAAGTGAAGAGAAAGTTTAGACATTTGGTGCCTCTAAGAGACTATGAAACACTGATTTCAAGCTGTTCCAGCTGAAACTCAAAGAGGCTTTGAAAGGCAAAGTGCCTGTTTAGGCGGCCCCAAAGCAATGCCAGCCAATTTTCCTGTCTGACAGAGCCCTCAAGGAATTGTCTTCAGATTGTGAAAAAATAAAAAAGAGGCGTGGTAGTGGAGTTGCCGGCTGCAAAGATACCAACAAGTAAGCCATATTTGAGAACTAGATCATGGGAAGAGCTTTGGCTAAGTGGTATGCAGAACTCCCTAGAAGCAGGTGCATCACAGCTCAGCCGGGCACTCTGATGTGGGATGTGAACAACCCACGTGGTCCCTCACAAATGCCTGCCCCTGTTCCTCCATGAAAGCAATGGAATCTTTTCTTAATTTCCCATTCTCATGTACAAAAATTCTGTCTCTCTGTGGCTTTTAGTGCAGTTCTTGGCTAACTACTCAGTAATGTTTTTGATATAGAAAGGAAAGGTTTGGATATTTATATACCTTTGTGTCATTTCAAGTATACACATGTGCATACATACACACACCCTTACACACAAAACAAAAAACCTAAATCCTGGCTTGAAAGACATTTTTTTTTTTCCCAACTGTGGGCTTCATGTGTTTGCTAAATCAGGCGACAAGCACATTCGAGAAACTACATAAAACAAATGATAATTGTATCTTTAAAATAGTATTCTGACTATAAAGCTAGTAAGATGAACGTCTTAAGAAATATTATATGAGGGCCAGCGCCGCGGCTCACTAGGCTAATCCTCCACCTGCAGTGCCGGCACCCCAGGTTCTAGTCTCGGTTGGGGTGCCAGATTCTGTCCCAGTTGCTCCTCTTCCAGTCCATCTCTCTGCTATGGCCTGGGAGTGCAGTGGAGGATGGCCAAGGTCCTTGGGCCCTGCACCCGCATGGGAGACCAGGAGGAAGCACCTGGCTCCTGGCTTTGGATTGGCACAGTGTGCCAGCCGCAGCATGCCAGCCGTAGTGGCCACTTGTGGGGTGAACCAACGGAAAAAGGAAGACCTTTCTCTCTCTCCCTCTCTCTCTCTGTCTGTCTAACTCTGCCTGTCAAAAAAAGAAAGAAAGAAAAAAAAAGAAATATCTGAATGGAAGCAATTACATACAATTTAGTTGATATAGAAAAATAAAGTAAATGACAAAATCTAACTTAAAGTTGAAGTCATCTTGCTTTCATGATAGGATTTTTTTGTAGGTAGCTCTGGGCGTGCTACACAGTCACATGGGGTCTGTTGGATTCAATTAAACAATAGATGTCCATCTATTAACTCCGTAGACCATCAATGGATAGAAGCTTATACTTTTTGATTCTGTTTCATCATTTCTAATGTGCTTATGGGAATATCCATGTTGTAATGCTTTGATGTGATGAATCAAATAGGTTTCTCATTTACTATGTGTCTGAGGCTCGGAAAAGTTTATAAGCCCTCCATTCAGTTAGCAGTCTTAAAAATGAAATTAATTTCTAATAGAATTATGAATTTTCACTGTAATATTTCTAATCTTTTCTATTTTCTTAGAATGTATCAGATGTGTGTGTGTGTGTATTCCTTGTAAGTATGATGAATTTTAATTATTTGTGCTTGTCTCTCTACCAAGTCAAGTTTCTGAGTGCCCTGAACACAGCTGATACTCAGGAAGGGCTATTGCATAGTATTAACTGTTGACTTCTAGTGTACCACGGCTCTCTGACCTGGTTTTTGGAAATAGCACATGTCTGTCACAGGGCAGAGTGGTGTGAATTGTGCAATGCCATACCTGGACCAGGTTCATGAGGGTGTCTCTGAAGTGTCCCGAGGTCTCTGACTGAATGTCCTCTTGGAGGTTGTTGTTGTATTCTGACAAGAAAAGAGCCACATTACAGTACACCTGTCTATAGCACCACACATCAGTCTGCTCTGAGCTACTTCCTGCTACTGCCCAAGCTGTGATTGAAAGTCCTAGAAAGACAATCAACCTGCCAACATTTCTCTGTCAATAAACTGCCCACCACTAAAATCAGTCACCCAATGACTACAAAGCTATAGGCTTCTTGTCTTAAAAAATTATCTTTATGGGGGCGGTGCTTTGCTGTAGTAGGTTAAGCTTCTGCCTGCAGTGCCGGCATCCCGTATGGGTTCCGGTTCGAGTCCTGGCTGCTTCAGTTCCAATCCAGCTCCCTGCTAATGTGCCTGGCAAAGCAGCAGAAGATGGCCCAAGTACTCGGGCCCCTGCACCCATGTGGGAGACCTGGAAGAAGCTCCTGGCTCCTGGCTTCGGCCTGGCCCAGCCCTGGCAATTGAGGCCATTTAGGAAGTGAACCAGTGGATGGAAGACCTCTCTCTCTCACTCTAACTCTGTCTTTCAAATAAATAAAATAAATCTTAAAAAAAAAAGATCTTTATTCCTAAAGTGAGAAACAGCATTGAGAGTCACTTCATTCTCTTATTCTCAAAATGTAGAATTACACATTCCATTTCTATAGACTGCTGCCCACTCTAGTACTTTTCCTAAGTGCTGCCATGACTCATTTTACTATTTCCAGTAAAGATTTTTATATCATTGCCCTGAGGAAAGTCTTGTCATTCAAATGCATTGGAGGTGACTGGGACATTTTCTTGACATTCAATGTTACATACTACATAATACGTGGGAGCTTAAGAAATTAAACCCTTTCGAAAACAAAACTAGCTACTCCTTCTACTTTTGAAAGGTACAAAAATCTGATTTTGGGATAGATTACAGGAATTAAGAAATGTGCATAAAGCATAGCAAATATATTTGCAGAACTCAAAAATGTCTCCCCAGATGTGGAATTCTGGACAGTTCGACAACCACTGCACTTCGCTGTGTTTTGCCTGTTGAGCAGGTCTCTGCTGTCAGAGACAACTGCCCTCTGACCTGCTGGGACTTTTCTGTCGGGATGAAAACATTCATCTCACAGCAGCTGGTAGCTCTTCAGGGAGGATGTGCTGAGCTGGATTGTCTAGGGAATGGTTTTATTTTTAGCACAGCAGTCATCCATTGCACTTGATGAGTTAGAATCTTGAGTGAGTGATATTTCACATGTAAAAGTATCTTAGAGAGTTCTGTAGAATTCATAGGCTGAAGTGTTTCATCTACTGAGAAATATGAAGTTCACGTATGTGTACAACACATGGACACAGACGCATTTCCTTACGCAAACTGTAGGCTTCCCGCATCTGGAAAATTTCTCCATTGGTTCTCGAAGCTAATATGTCAATGAGGCAGTTCTCATCGGTGCCTGCTCCCTAGAATGAGAAAGGAGAGAGATCCATAGGCACTTTTGTTGGGAATAGCAGTGTGCCTTATGTACTGTACAGGGGGACACAGCATTCCTGGTGGTGTGAGGGGTGGCAGGAGGCAAGGACATGTGTTTGGGATAAAGACAGACCCAGCTTCAGTTCCGGCTCTGACACTGGGTAGCCGCTTCACCCTGAGAAGATGCTATTATCCAAAGGAAACCCAGTTTATTCATTTATAATAAAAAGCATGGGCATGCCTCTAGCATTTCCATTTGCTACTGGAACATCCATTCCATAGCAAGCTGAAGTACAAACATAGATTTTCTGGAGCCAGTGTCGCCATGCAGCAGGTTAAACCGCTGCCTGTGACACCAGCATCCACTATGGGCACCATTCAAGTCCTGGCTATTCCAATCCAGTAACTACTCATGCATCTGGGAAGGCAGCAGAATATGGCTTAAGGGCTTGGGCCCCAGAGGCCCAGATGGAGTTCCAGGCTACTGACTTTGGCTTGGCCCAACCCTGGCTGTTGGAGCCATTTGAAAAATGAACTAGCAGATGGAATATCTCTCTTTGTCTCTCTCACTCTCTCCTCTCTTTCTTTCTCTGTAATCTGCCCTTCAAATAAATAAAGCTTCAAGTTAAAAAAAAAAAGCACAGATCTTTTAATTTCCCAAAGGAAATTAGGGCTCTTCATCTCCCTAAATGTGGAATTTTGTACAATTTGCCTAAACATTTGGACTGAGCACTTCCTGTGCTCCCTATTTAGACAGGTGCACTTGTATTTGTCTATGATAGTGATTTTCAGGGGCAGTGTGACTTTTTCAGGGAAGCCACAGAAAGCCTTATTGTTCTGTGAAATTTTGATAAAAATATCCATTTATACAGCAACATATGACTTTATTCTTACATTTTTAATCACAGAACTTTGCAAGAAGCTAGGAACTGTATGCAACATTTAAGAAAAGTTGAGTAGTCTAAATAAATAGTGAATTTTATACACTGTCTATTCTGATCTGTACATATGATGACCCAAATCCACATTTCTGTCATTGTTTTTCTTTCTTCTTCCTGTCACACGTGGTTCACAGATTGTGGTAATCTGGCCACTGGCAAGCATCCTCCTGGAACAGGTACTTAATGTCAGTCTCTGGAAAGAAGTTAAATTCACTCTTGTCTCTGTCTCTGGGCAACAAAATCTGTAACAAGCTTGTAGTTGATTTGGTTTACTGAAATGACTTTTTGGAAGAAAGAATTATTATTCCAATCCTTGCAAAGTAAACTTCTGATATATTTGAGCAATTGTTTTTATAAAGGACCAACCTAAGGTCACAAAAATAAAGCTAGATCACTTCTGTATTTTGACTCTATCGCTTCTTGGCCTTTTGGCTAAGATCAAGTGTATTTTGACTCTAGCTCTCCATCCCATTCTGGCTTAATGAACCAGGTCTTTAGAGATAATTTTAAAAGGTTCACATGAGTTTTAATGCATCCCCTTCAATATACAAATACACATTGAGGAGAGGCAAACATGAATGGCCCTGGGCTCATCTCTGGCGTGCCTTTTGGTAGCTCATCTTGCAGCTGACTTGTTAGTCTGGGTTTGTCTAACCACAGAGCAGGCTGACCCCAGCCATGGGCTCTGGAGGCCCCGTCTTCCTGCCCAGTTCCTTCCCTTGGCTGCAGCATTTCCACGGTCACATCACTGCTCATGTAGTCCCTCCTCCCTCCCTGCAGGGTCATACAAGTATGTCGGAGCATCCTGGGGCAGTCCACCCGTCAACAGAAATGCCGGAAATGCCAGCCTGCACCTGCCACAGGTATGTTTCTGGGCTAGATTGCTACCTTCATGGCGTGCCAGAGTTCGTGTGCATCATAGGATGGTGGCGGGTACATGAGGCCAACCATGACGTCCTTGAAGTGATCAGAAAGCTGCTCCTTCAGCATGCCAATCAGGTCCTGTGGAGGCAAAAATAAAGGTTTTCACCATCAGTCAGCAAAGCAATGGGAGGAATGGGCTCAATGTAGGAAGGTTTCTAGTAGGACTTCCTTTTCCAGGCCATTCCACGTCACAACCAGGCTAGTTTTGATTACATGTACAAGCATATCTGTGGGTCACACACAGTGATGGACCTGAAGGTTTAAAGATGACTGATTTTTTTTAAAGATTTATTTGAAAGGGAAGGAGGGAGGGGTGAGAGAGAGAGATTATGATGGCAGAAGGCAGGGAGACTGCCTGGTGAGGGCTAGCTGAGGTCATGAGAGCTTGGATTAAGGTAGGTGAAGCAGAAAGGATGGGAGAAAAACAGTACATGTATAAGGAAGGCACATTGTGGTGTATTGACTGAGCCTGAAGCTAAAATCCTCTATCTGACAAAAGTCCCTAACCTTCCCCCTTTTCTTATATGTGATTTGATAGAAAAGCAAATCACATCAGACAAATAACTTTAGAGCTAAAGTATGCAGGTTGTTTACTGATTGGCCGATTCAGTAACTCATTGGTGCACTGTGCAGATACTTTGTGTGCCAGGCTAGTCCAGGAACTGGGAGTCCAGTGTTGACTTTTGTTAAATGTGCCCCCTACTGTTATTAAGCTTATATCACAAAAAGGCAGTGAGCTTAGATTCAGTGAGGACTAATGACTTTATAACAGGTTAATTTTAATGGTCTCTGGTGCTTTTATCCATCTATATTAAGTGGAAATCATTGCAACCTATTTCATTAACAATTGACTATAAGAATTAAGGAAATGAAAGCTTCATTGTTCTTATAAAATATTTTCTGTTTTGATCTGTGTTTCCAGATAGAAGGTATTGGGATTTGTGGAATGGAGTTTTGTACAACTTTCTATGGTTCAGTGACCCTTGAGAAAGCCATCAAGACAGGACAAAAGAGATCCCTGTTAGAGAAGGTGGCACATCTTTTATGTTCACCTGACCCTGGAAGGTCATGAATTTGTCCTCTGCAGGGGCCTACAAACCAAGAGTTAAACTAACCAAGGTGGCGGGAGCGGCACAGGCAGATGGTTACTCGCATGATGCCTTTAATGATAGATACCTGGGAAGTACCAGCTGCCTACCTGGGCCAGCACATTCAACAAATGCTAAGTGCTCTAACCAACAGTAACTACAGTGATCCTGGATAATCCCCTGAGGCTGGCTCCATCGTTCCTGTTCTAATAAGGGAACTGGAGGTGAGCAAAGTTCAATTGCCCAAGCTTGTATCTCTGAAGTGGCAGTGCCAACACTTGGCTCTGACTGTTTCCCAGTGAAGAACTCCGGGCTCTGTTTACCTGCTCTGACCACTAGTAGTATAAATTAAAGGCAGTGGAGTCCGTGAGCCTGAGGCTGTAAACCTTCTCCAGGAGCAGTCAGAGGGCCTTGGCCATGCCCCTTCACAGAGGCAGTGCACAGCCAGGCGTTTCTCCCACTCTGTTCTTCTCCATTGTGCACAGGCTGGTTCTTAGACTTCTAGAGATGGATTGAACACTTGGTTTGGAGACTTCTCAAATCTCTTCCTAAAGCACATCGCTTAAATCGCAGTATCTTTCATTTGCAAATCCAGTGTTTAACTCAATGTCTTTTATAAAATATTTGAGAGAGATAAACAAGGTGGGGGTGGGGAGAGTGAGAGAGAAATAAATAGAGATTCTATCCATTGGATCCCATCCAACTGCCTACAATGACCAGGGTTGGGCTGGGACTGAAGCTGGGAGCTAGAAACTCAGTCTGAGTCCCTACATGGGAACCCAGCTACTTGAGCCGTTCCTGGGAGAACATTAGCCGGAAGCTAGAATCACGAGCAGAGCTCTTATTGGACCTAAGCATTCTGATATGGGGTGCGGATATGCCAACCTGTGTCTTAACCAGGAGGTCAACCAAATGCCTGCCCCTAAATCTTTTGACTCTACCTTCTACTAAGAAAAGTTCTCATTTTTAATTTTTAGTCATTTTTTTCTGTGTTCTGCTAATTCACCAGATAATTATAATGATTTTTGTTATGTGCATTATTGAGAGATTTATAAATATTCCTGATTGATTTTTAAAAATATCTTCTTTATTTATTTGAAAGGCAGAGTTACAGAGAGGCAGAGGCAGAGGCAGAGGGAGGGAAGGAGGGAGGGAGGGAGAGAGACAGAGAGAGGTGGGGAGGAAGGGAGGAAGGGAGAGAAAGAGAGAGAGAGAGAGGTCCTCTATCCATTGGTTTATGCCCCAGTTGGCCGCAACAACTGGAGCTATGCTGATCCAAAGCCAGGAGCCAGGAACTTCTTTCAGGTTTCCCATGCAGGTGCAGGGGCCCAAGGATTTGGGCCATTTTCTATTGCTTTTCCAGGTCGTAGCAGAGAGCTGGATTGGAAGTTGAGCATCTGGGACTCGAACCAGCACCCATATGGGACGCCGGCACTGCAGGTGGCAGCTTTACCTGCTACGCCACAGTACTAGCCTCCTGATTAATTTTAAAATACAATACTACCTCCTATACAAGAGACTTTTCCTTACACCTTTTACTTGATTTAATCCTTAAAATACCCAGGCAGGATCAAACTGGTTTATAGATGAGGGAGTTAACAATTTTAGTGGTTGAAATTTGCCTGTGTTCACACTGTAAGCAGGTTGCAGGGATGGGGTGAGATGCAGATTCAGGTCAGTGTGACTCCAAGACCGTGGAATTGATCTTGACTTCTACTACATCTGGACATAACCTTTGGTTGGTAGATTCGATGAAGCCCCTGCTGGCCTCAGGCTAATTGACTTTTTTTTCAGTTGTATTTGTTTATTTGAAAGGCAAAGTTGCTGAGAGAGAGAGAGAGAAAGACAAAGAGAGGGTGAGATCTTCCATCTGCTGGGTCACTACCTAGATGGCCACAATGGTGGGGGTTGAGCCGGGCTGAAGCCAGGAGCCTGGAACCCCACTTCCCACGAAGCTGCATCTCCCAACGCTGCTGGGCCGGGAATCAAGCGTGCATGTGGGATTTTGAGGGAACAAGTCACCCCCAGACCCTGGCCACATGGATCCCTAGGGCGTGGCCCCTAACTGTCCGGACTGCAGTCTCTGGTTTCTCAGTCTTGCTAATTCGCTCTTCCATGATCGCCTACAGCTGCTCCCTGAATGTGGCTGCCGCACAGTTGGAGACGCACCTGATTGAGGCATTTCCTTCGATATGGCCTGCAGTGTATCTCTGTGAAGTGCAGAAAGATAATTTATATCTCCAAGTTATGGAGAATTAAAACAAAATAATGACAGCCTATAAATCCCCCTGTTCTAAGATTTTTCTGAAAGGAAAACATCAAACATTTCTGAAAAATATTTACTCATTAAACAAAGATTCATAAAAACATTGAGAAAATAGCTTAAAATAGAAAGCCAACTTGAATTCCTGAAGAAACCACGCATAATAGTCACAGAATTCTGTTTAGATCCATTTAACAGCTACAAAGTCATACCAGGACAGTAAATTGATTCATGAACATGTTTTAGGACTGACAACATGCCTGTGCAAATGGTTTAATAACATGAATTAGGAATATTTGGTTCACATGATTTTCTATGAAATAAATTCAAGAAGAAATTCTGGATATAGCTCATGTCACAATTTTGTAAAAAGAAACAAATGGAGTTGTTTGAATATTTATCTATTTCATCTCTCATATTCTCAAATTGGTGTTCATGCAAAGACAGTTTAGAGTTGTTTCAAGGTTTAACTTGCAAGGGAACTGGTGGCTATTGAAGTTTTATTTGTTGATATATTCTGCTAGATGATTTGCATGATTGTCCATTTAAGTCTTATAAGAAGTTCATTATAGAAAGGACTAAGAGTCAAAGGGAGCACATAAGCAAGTCTAGTACCTGCTAACACTAACCGATAGAATAAATAAAGGGGAGAGTGATCCAACATGGGAAGTGAGATACTCAGCAGACTCATAGAATGGCAGATGTCCTAAATAGCACTCTGGCCTCAGAATCAGCCCTAAAGGCATTCGGATCTGGCTGAAAAGCCCATGAGAGTATTTCAGGCATGGAAAGCCAAGACACTCTGGCAAAAGATCTCTGTGAGTGAGATCTCAGTGGAAAAAACAGGTCTTCAAAGAAGGAGGTACCTTTCTCTGAAGGGAGGAGAGAACCTCCACTTTGACTATGACCTTGTCTAAACAAGATAAGAGTCGGAGAACTCAAGGGGCTTCCATAGCCTTGGAAACTCATGACTGGAGCATAGGGGGATTGCTGATGCCATAGACAGGAGTGTCAATTGGTAAAGTCAACAACAGGAGTCACTGTGCACTTACTCCTCATGTAGGATCTCTGTCCTTAATGTGCTGTGCATTGAGATTTAATGCTATAACGAGTACTCAAACAATATATTTCACTTTGTGTTTCTATGGGGGTGCAAACTGTTGAAATCTTTACTTAATGCATACTAAACTGATCCTCTGTAAAAAAAAAAAAAAAAAAAAAAAGGAAAAGAAAAGAAACTATCAACTCCCAACTTGACTCTCACTGGGATTAAACATGACAATAGGTCTGATCTGATTTCATCATCATTTAAAAAAATCATCTATTATTTTTCACTTTATGTTTCTGTGTGGGAGCAAACTGTTGAAATCCTTACTTAAGGTATACTAAGCTGATCTTCTGTATACTAAGATAATCGAAAATGAATCTTGATGTGAATGGAAGGGGAGAGGGAGGGGGAAAGGGGAGGGTTGTGGGTGGGAGGGACGGTATGGGGGGGAAGCCATAGTAATCCATTATTCGTACTTTGGAAACTTATATTCATTAAATAAAAGTTAAAAAAAAAAAAAGTTGTTCATTATAGGGGCCAGTGCTGTGGTGCAATGGGTTAACACCCTGGCCTGAAGCCTTGGCATCCCATATGGGTGCCGGTTCGAGACCCAGCTGCTCCACTTCCAATCCAGCTCTCTGCTATGGCCTGGGAAAGCAGCAGAAGATGGCCCAAGTCC